ACGTACGTTGTGCTATACGGTCTTCAGTGCAGCAATAGTATCTTGATGAGATGAAGGGGTGAACGACATTAGGTTCTGACCGCGAGATGTGACTTCGAAATTAGCTCTTGGTCACACCATTCCTGTATAACTCTAATAGACCCCCAATCATTCGACTTAGATAATCTAAGTTGGTGGTCTATAGATGCTTCTTCCGGGGAGCATGCACCCTCTAGATCACTACCACAATCTAGACAATGAATGCGACTTCGGCCATCTTCGTATGCTTCATTTCAAATGAATATATCGAACTGGTCCAAATATTTTCACTGCCATTCTGTATTTCGGGTCCGCGCAGTAAATAATGAGCTTAGGATTGCCTCAATTAAAACCAAGCACCACCGTCTTTGCACAACAGAGCATAGTTCTGTACATCTTTTGCGATGACAGTTGTCCAGTGAACGACTATATTTAAAGCCGTTTTTGTTTTTGGCTCTAAAATGTGTCGCAATATCACAGTTTGCTGCCGTGGAATAGTGATCGCACACTTTCGAAATTACATCTTCAATGCTCAGGATACCTTGCATCTAAAATCTCTCTAGCAAGCTTGTAGGACACCACTGATTTCTTTTGTTCGCTTCTTGATATTACGGTGCTGATCAAGGTCTTTGGTTTCATTCAATAGTGGCAGTTTTTTTCGCTTGGTTGCTCCAATCCTAGTGAGTTTGGTGATAGTTATAGTGCTTATTATAGTGTAGTGTAGTTGCTAAAAATTAATGATCAGGAAATCAGTTAATTGCAATATAAAAGCTATAAAACTGGAGTGTAGAGAGGCGAAGAGAATATAAATTTTAGAATCAGTAAATCTTTAGTAGGTTCAAGCATTGTGGATAGAGAAGCGGATAGTCAGAAGTGATAACAGGTGGCGTAAACAGAAATGACCCAATAACTATTGGAACAGCAATAGAGAAAATAATGATGGTCTCGACAATGTATGGGTTGTGTACTGGGCAAAACTGTCGTCATGTCAGCTGAGCAGTCGTTCCAGTGATAATCAACTCGTAATGAAAAGTGTAGTCGTACCTGTATATCATCTCTTCGATATGCAATTCTAAGTGGGTTACCTCGTGAAATGCAGAGTACAGGCCCAAAGAGGATATTTTTGTTTCAGTTACCAGAAGTCCTTAGTATGCTTGTAGCAATAAATAAATCCTCAAAATAAATGGTATTGTGAGTGTTCGACGTCTGACGCTGATTTCTCAAGTTTTACTGGACACACTTAGCTAAAGGAGCTCGGTCACACATCTCTTGAAATTGCCAGACAACTTAGACAAAACGCCTCCAGCTATATCGCTAGTCTTCTGAATATGTCTTTGAACAATTTCATTTATGACTTCTGATTTCGTTGGATTGACATGCTTCAATTATAAAGATGTTACATGTAAAGGCGTTGTCAGACTTCGAATACCTGTGATACCTTTTCTGTAATATGTTGACAACAATCTATGTGGTGAGGTCGTTTTTCAGATGGTTTGGCCTCAGTCTTATGAACAATTTTGTGACATGTATCTGTACTTGTTCCAAGTTTCTTATGCGCCATTTAGGAACTAGGTATTTAATGACGGGTCAGTTGACTTGTAATATTTATTGCTGTTAGTTCTTCAGAGAAGAATCGATTTTCCCGCAAAGGTACTCACAGATGGATTTTATACTGATTTTCACCACAGTATGAGGAAAGAAGATTCCCAACTAGAGCTTATCTGGTTATGGTTTTCCAACCTTTTTTAGACGATCCTAAAGAGAAATGAACGATAGGACATGTCAACATGAACCGTTATTAAAGGTACGGAATGACGATATAATTCGCCATATGTTCTGCGATGAGATTAGGAGCAAAGCTTTAAACATTTTATCTGCCCATTATATGAGACTTTGGAAAATCTTGAAATCCATTCAGCATCTACTCTTTGGGAGTGTTTAGGGGCCTATACATATTAAGATGGATATGGGCAAGCCCCTTGAATTCATATTCTAGGTCCGGTTTCACGTATATTGTATTCAGAATTCGAACTGAAAAGCACTAGACGCCCGTTTGTTCTTAAGAGGGCACTGAAAAATCACTGACTTACAATTAAACCGGGTTTTTCAACCAACGACTACTTTTGATGGATTGTGCGTGACCTTCAGATCACCAAGTAGAAATACAGTGGCACACATATAACTTCAATTATCACAAACAATCCTTAAATATATATTATTGACCTAGAACAAGGTCACGAATTGGAACGCTTATCGAATCACAGTCCGCCCGAGCATATAAACGGTCAACCTTCAATGTATAAGATACGTATAGATTTCGCACCCATGAAATCTACTATGGTTGAGTTCAAACCTTTTGTTTAAACTTTGCGAAAGCTCTCCGTAACAATACCACCCCGACGTTGTGGAAAGTTTTCTTGAAGCTGATAGCCCTAAAGGCAATGTTCACGAAAAAGTAACTAACAGGATTTCTATATTGTATGAATACTCGTCTTTCAAACCTGGTTTGGAACGATTAAGTTTACAAAAATTTGACTCGGGAGCATAAAAGTACTAAAACATTGTTTTTTTTCACCATGTTTTCGAGGTACTAACTTTTCTTATCATCACCGTTGTGACTGTGTAAAGTGTAAATTATTCCACTGTCCATGCGAGATCTCTGAAGCTCTATATATATAACGACATTTTTCATTTATGGTTGAGTTCAAAATACCTTCATTACATATAATATGCGACGTTTGGTCGTATGAAACACATACTGAAGTTCGATCTTCAGAGGCTTACAAAAGTGACCTATGCGTGAATAATGGACCCATGGGACATCGATAAGGACACTCTTCACAAGAGTGACCAAGGTAATGAAGTGCTGTTACAGCAGTTTGGGAGGATCAAGGGTCAAAATGCTTGAATTTCGGGATATGTGCACTCCCATCGAACCAATAATCGTAGAGCGAGCAAAAGCTTAGCCATGACAGTGAAGCAAGTAGATGGAATATGGTTCTGTTGAAACGTGACAGATAACCTAGAGCGAGAGGTTAGTGATTGAAACTTGCAAGCATTATACTCTGCATCTTCAGCCACAACGAAGACGATGCTGCCGTGGAAGAGCAAGCTTAATCCACTCTATTGCATACGGACTTGGAAAACCATCGAGCAAAAAATCTTTTAAAAATTACGAAAGTCATCATCTGTGAAGCATCTGCACCAAACTTAAAGAAAGATCTGTAGCAAACAGAAAATCACACCTAAAAGATAAATCACTGTGTTTATCTGCTTATCTGGATGCTCTTACATTTAACTAGAGAACTAAAGAACCTCACAGTGCAGGTTAGCTAAACCACACGAGCTGTAGATCATCAACGTAGATGACCTATTTCGAGTGACTGGAGGCCTTTTCGAGTTAGACGGGAATGGTGTGACGAGACAGCGATTTTGGAAGTCACAGCTCATGGTCAATATATACATGGATTACCCCGTCGTCGTATCAAAGTACTATTGCTGCTTTGAAGACCGTGCAACACAAAGGACGTTATTACGGAAATATATTAATAAGAGCGAGTACAGAGAAGATGGAGAGACCACCAACGCATGCTACAGTCCATGGCATATGTTTGGTTGTCCTTCACCCTGACAAGGATCGACGATCTGTTCGATATTCAGTGACTCAAATGCCGAATGGTTTGGCTATGGCTCAGTGACATTTCACTGGCCCTACAAAGCTAACTTGAAACACATATAGTTATTCTCAAATTTCATTAACATTCGGGGTGCAGACGGAAGAACGAACACTTCTACGCTAGTTAGACAGCGAACTTTTGTCATTACATCAGTGATGCATAGTAGACGGCTATGTCTATCCGCCACAAATGCCATTGACACTTGTCGGCGAGGAAGTTTCTCGAAAGGTTTGTCGTGACAGAAAGTTTGAGATCGATGAAACAGTAAGGTTTCCTGCAACTTCTAGAATGTTCGCTCTGCATGCTGTAATACCAACACCAAATAGGGTCACCTGTCTATTATGGTCTAGAAACAGATCTTTTTGGTTACGGGGTTTTTCGAAGAGTTTGGAAACATCTGTGATTATGATGCATACTAAAATGACGTGTGAGAGTATGACAAAGATCTGTAACGTCATCTCGTGTCGTTTGAGGCCTTTATTCGGCAGAAAAATCCTCAGTGCCTGATGTTCTAGTGATCTGTGGGATCCGACTGGTAGATGCAGTCATTTCGTCTACCTCTTGCACCTGTTGTGGAGATTTAAGTGAAAAGTTATCTAAAGGTTACTTTGTTGGAAGTCCGTCTTCCAATGACTTCCCGGATAAGTACTGAAACTTCTGTTTGGGAACCGTGATACAATCTCATGTCGTGAAAGAGCTGGTCTGAACTTTTACGATCGGTTAGGTTTCCTCGTTTAAGGGTAGCTCTTTTAAGGTTTCGTAGGGCTCAGAACCATCACTAGTAAACATGCTGGGCCTAATGTGCCTGGTAAAATCACGCGGTAGTGCCTTCACTACTGAGATGAATTGCGCACATAGGCCTATCACGCAGTGCATTTGCGTAGCAGATCCAGTTGTCAAAACATCAATCCAAAGTGGTGTGAGTTGAAAGTTATGGGGCATAAGAGTCTTATTCTCTAATATATTAAGTGTTTGTTCCGTCATAGTTAGGGTAAAACAAATAAGTAGGCAAAAAAATCGAGATAAGAAACATATCACGATATGTGAAAATAAAAATAGAATCTGATATCTAATGATATGACAAGGAACAGAATCACAGTTTATCGTTTGGTGTATCATGTCAAATCGAACTCATCACTAAAGATGCTACAGATATTCAGAAATAGACAACGCTTTTGTTAGTAGCACCTCTATAATTAAAGGATATTAATCCAGCCATATCAGATTTCATGAATGAATGAGTTCAAAGATACATTTGTGAGGTTGTCGATACGCCTTGTCATCCGTATCGGTAGTCCACTACTGTTAGACACGGAATATTGATAATAATAAGCTAGTTCTAGTACTTCCACAACCGTTGGAACCATTTGAAAGGTCGTATTAGAGTTTTTCAGAGGTAATTCGAAAGACTACTTTTCAACCAATCATCGAAGCCTGATGTATGCGACAGTTGGTAATTTGATATGATTGTGTAAGTTGTTAAATAACTTCTACGCTAATGAATCTCATTTTCACTCAGCTGTTCAGTTAATACTCGTATTCCGGCAGACGTTATCAACGGCTTAGAATAAACAGTAGCTATATAGCTACTATATATGTAATACATATTGTATATATATATATATATATATATATATATATATACAGTATGATATAATATAGTATGGTATAGTACAGTATAGTATAGCTACTGCTTATTCTATAGCCATAGCTTCAAATGGGTGGGCTCTCTTGAGGCATGTCAGTGAATTACCTCGTAATTATTGGTGTGTCTGAATTAATTGAACGGATGAACTAGTAAACCAAGGTTAGATCTAACCTCTGTTATCTGTCCTTTGAAGGACAGATAACTGAGTAAACATACATTAATGTAAGCTGACACTGTACCAACCACCAGAAATACCAATAAAAAGTAAAGTCAACCTTATTAAAGCTATTTTTAAGTCATATGTTTGCTACATAAAGGTTGTTAAATATTACACAACTTCCTAGCTCTTCGGCTCTTTTTGGTAAGGTTGAATTCTCCATAAAAAGTAGGCAATATGGAAAGAAGTCCGCTTTTAGAAAGTAATTAACCATAATAAGTAATTTGTACATTTCAGTTATTCAGCACCAAAAAAGAAAATTAGGCGGTTTTAGAATGGGAGATGAGGTGCTTATGATATATGTGCATCTGTTAGATTATGAGAATTACTTATTTCTGTTGGTGCTGCTGATAATATTTTACCCATAATTTTGGCTGTTACTATTTGTCACTCTACGTTTGTCGCATTCTGAACACCCCTTCTAAATTTTAAGATTTCCTCAGTACTCTAATTCATGCACTCCAGCTATCGATTCTAGTTGTTTTAATAACTCGAAAAGGCTGGTTTACCACTGAATGTTAAATAATCTTAAATTTCATAAAGAACCATTTTGGAAGTTGTGGAATATTATTTTAACTTTTAGCATATTTGAGACTTAAAATTACACTAAAATTTGTTTATCGTCCATTCAAGCTTGCTCTAAAACTTAGTGGTTAGCAAATGAGTCTGAATCGTAATAAATTTAAACTTGGCAAGAAATTTCGTGGTCTGAATGCAAAGTTTTTGATCTGCATATCACAGTAGTTGGTAGAAACTTTGCAACCAGTAAGTTGGAGGTTTAGACTTTACCTCAAATGGCAAATATGGTTCAGGATCTAGTGCACACAATCAGAGACTCGGTCGCAGTTGTACATGATTTGTAACATGACAAATACGTAGCTAATCATCAGTAATCAAATGATGCAGGTAGATTGTCCAAGTTAGTAAACAAGCGGGTATTAAAGGGTGTTATGTGTTAATATCTCCATATCGTTACCCATCTGCGACTGAAATTTAAAACAAAGTCACTTGAACTTCTATATTTAAGGGTTGTGTAAATTCAGGGACGAGTGTATAACTGTTTACGTGTTCTTTTTCCAATTCTAACGTAGATGATGGGCCTCTTCTCTTGGGTTTATGTTCTAAGTAGTGAGAGATGTTTGAAAGAAACCTAAAAAATTTTAAGGTTTTGTTTGATGTTTCACTGATTACTTACTTTTGATATAGGTAAATTATCCTATATACTTTGTATAGTGAGCCATTTTGAACAAAAACAATAAAATGGAAATATATCACGAAATAAAGGTTAAAGAATAAATAGCTGGTACAATTATGAAGCTTTTGACTTGGTGATTATGATGACGCTCGGTAATCCAAAATTTATCCAATCATTTCACGGAAATCGATCTAATTTGCGCGTAATATCGATAAATATTGAACACATTTAGTAAATTTCTACATCATAATACAAGTGAAGCCCTTCAAAATTCATGGTTTATATTTATGAACGTTTTTGGTCGTCATGACTAGATTATTTCAAGTAAACATTTACTTTTAGTTGTTTCAAAGCTTTTTGAAAATGGAGAATGAACGCTCGAATCTCTTGGCTATCGTCAAACTTGTTGTACACGATCTAATTCAGCTTACATTTGATCAACATCAGGTTTCTCTTGATGAAAACATTTTCTGGGGTGAATCTAGGACTGTTCATTGTGAAGAGGTTCTAAATATTGTCTGGCGGTTGCTTTCTGTTGTTGAGCACTGTCTCTGTCATGGTTTACGTCGAGATTACACAATGCCTGACTCTTTTGACGACAACAATGAAAGAACTTCATCGAAAGGATTAATGAAGGATGCGACAACTGTCGTCCGAAGAGCACGCGATCATGCCGTTTCGGCTGCAAATATTTTTATGAAAAATTCGTCACATCCAAATCCTTGGCCCGTATTATTAGAAGCAGAAAAATTGTCAAAGACCACAGATTCTATAAGTAAAACTGTTGCTACAATGACTGAAATACGGACTGGACTAGGTCGCTCTCGCGTTTGGTTGAGGCACGCTTTAATGAGAAAGGTATTTCCCGCAGTTTTCGATCTGTTTTAAATGTAATATGTTATCAAGTCGGATTTGCTTCTCCTGAATTTATTTTATATGACAATCTTGTTCTGAAAGAGTAGCATCGGTTATTTTTTCTCAAATTTGAGCTTTCATGTGTATAAGACTTTGGGCATTACGTTAGGTCTCATCCGCAGCAGAGCCTTACAAAATTTTTATATTCTTCGTTTATTACTGTAAAATAATAATTACGGTGTGTCAGTCAATAAGTTTGCTTACAGGTTATGAAGACTTGTGAAATCCTTCACTCTTAGCGCTTCTGGTAGGTAATTTTGCAAAGTTCGATTCATCATCAATTCCGAAATTTCTAGTCCAAAGCTGTGTACGTTTTCAAATTCTTTTCAGCTTCCTGTTTGATATATTGGTATAGTTCTCCTTATTTTGTCTTTTATAACCATTATTAATCTTTCTGAATGCTTATAGCGTACCTTTACTGATATTTTTTCCTTCAAAACAAAATGGCAAAAATGAACTCGAGAGTAAGTACATATCACATAAACAAGAAACTGTGACTTCCTAAAAATAAAGTAAGGAACGAGAGTTAAGTCAAAAACATTAAAGAATAATAATAAGTGAACAGTAGTATATAATGGGAGAAACTGTTCAGTTAGATAACAGCCTGAAAGGATTCTCTCAGTTAAGAGAATCAGTGAGTCAGCTACAACGTAGGACCAGGCACATATATGCATCGGTCCAAGTTGCCACACCTCATTAGCACAAGGTGAACACCAAATTCATAAAAGTCACTTCAATGGTAATAATATATCGAAGGAAGATTCATTATAAGGATATAGTACAGGAAGAAAGAATTAGTTGGTAGAAAGAAAGATATGGAGCGATTTTAATCTCATAGTTTAAGGGAAGACAGAAAGTGAATACACAGATGCCATTGTGAAAGATTCTGAGCCATGTCACCAAGAGTCTCCAACCATTGGTTACGATAGTCACGCGGACCCCAACCAAGTAGTCTGGATCCACCAACAGTGCTCGGACTAAACGTTAGTGTCTTCAAGCACTGATGCCACGTTTTGGTTTGGCCGCCCCTAACTTCCTTCCAACCATCCCCAACACTAGTCAGCATTGTACGTCGTGGTAATTGGTGTTCAGACATACGTAACACGTGGCCCAACCGTCTCAGTCGATCTAGATTTACAATCTCATCAACTGGTTTACCATCATTCCCTAATACCTTGCATCTAACCTCACTATTACTTAACCCGGTGATTCCAGCAGATGCCAGCTATATTTCTAAAACATCTGTGATCAAATACTAGTGACTTTCGAGTATCCTCTACCTTTAATGGCCACGTTTCGCTGCCGTAAAGTAAAACATAACGAACTGCCGCGCAGTATACTCGTCCTTTTATTGATAGACGGATATCTCGCCTTCGCCATAGGTGACGTAAGTTGGCAAAAGCCAAGCGAGCTTTCCGAATCTGTGCTGAGATTTCGTCAGACACCAACCCATTAGGGTTGAACAGATCCCAGTGTGGTCATTCACTTGACCTCACCTCGGCGAAACGGAGAGCCAGCGAGATACACCCTCCGTGTATCTGGTGACCCGACGGCCAGCTCTCGTGGACTGGCAAGCGTACGGATAGCACTAAGCTGTTCGGCTAAAACGGCTCCGTAAGAATTCGGAAGGATAGGGACACACGTCGTTGCCTTTTTGTCGTTTCTGCCTACGCTCCCACCGACTGCAGCTCAGATGATGTGAAAGATGAATTTTACAGAAAGTTATCTGAACTTCTTCAGAAAGCTAAACGTTCAGACATAGTACTCATAGGAGGTGACTTTAATGCCCAGATAGATAGTTTAGACCAAACAGAAAGGCATTGAGGTGGGTAATTTAGTATTCCGGCACAACGAACGATAATGGTGACCGTCTGTTGCAACTTTGCTCAGGCAATCGTTTATTTTTAACAAGCGCTAATTTTAAGCATAAGGAGAGACATCGTCTAACAAGGCAATTCCCTGCACCAAACCAACGATGGACTCAAATAGACCATATTGCCATCAGTCATCGTTGGAGAGGCTCGATATAAAACTGTCGCTCATTATGGAATACCTGATTAGACCGCAAACATGCTCTAATACGAGCACGCATTTGCTTGCACCTCGCTGGACGCAAAAAAACCACATTAAGAAGACACCTCAGAGTTAAACTCAGTGACGAGGAAGCCAAAAGCAGATTTCAGGAACAACTAAAGTCACACTTAGGTAGTTCTGAAAACGAGACTGATCCAGATGTTGTATGGAAAGATACACGAACAGCTGTCAGTCAGTCAGCTACAACGTAGGACCAGGCACATATATGCATCGGTCCAAGTTGCCACACCTCATTAACACAACAAGATGGACACCGGATTCATAAAAGTAGTTAATTCAGAGGTGGTAATATATAAAAGAATGATTGCAATAAGGATATAGTACAGGAAGAAAGAATTAGTTGGTAGAAAGAAAGACATGAAGCAATTTGATATCTTAGTTTAAGGGAAGATAGAGAGTGTATACGCCATTGTGATCGATTCTGAGCCGTGTCACCAAGAGTCTCCAACCATTGGTTACGATAGTCACGCGGACCCCAACCAAGTAGTCTGGATCCACCAACAGTGCTGTAGCTTTTTAAGCTTAAACTAGAGTTGGGAGACCCACTTCAGTGATCCATTCAAGCTGTTTGGGAATGATGGGTAGTTGTAGAGTAGCTGAAGGCCAACTGAACTGCTCCTTAAAGTGTTCCACCCATCGTTTCGAACGTCTGAGATGACAGTAGATGGAATTGCCGTCTTTTTACGAGATTGTCTCACTTCCTGTTTCTTCCATTAGCCCGAAAGGCTGTTTTGTGTTACCTATAGCCATTGCCTTTTCCATCTCGTTTGCTTTCGTTGCCCACCACTGCTCACGATCGTTCCGTAGACGTTTACTTAACCTAGATCTAACTTGTTTTCGCTCTTCATCGTGTTTGGAGCCTGATGGGATGAGTTTACAAAAATATATCAGTGCAATAGATGTTTCAGAAATCCACTGGTTTTTCGTAACCCTGTGGTTCAAATCACTAGTAGATCTCACTGCAGTTTCCACAGCTGTTCGTTGCTACCTTGACGTGGTGGTCGGGCTTGTCTATCGTGATGAAGCAACCGAGCTATACTGGCTGGAACAATCGTTCCTCAAGGTCCTACCATGTCAGACAGGTCGGTTGAAGAGCGGTAAGACTAAAAGCAACAAACCCAAGGTCCGAAGGCGAAGTCGTACTGCTGACTGTACAGAGGTGTGACAGCAGTAAGGTGTTTCCTTCAGACAACCAGCATGACAGCGATGCTGCTTTCCCACAAGGAGGGGTGGGGTTAGAAAAGGTCGACCCTAAAAATGCACACCTCACCTTATCTCACGGATATCCGTCTCCGGCGGTAAGGTCTCAACAAGTACGGAGCTAACACAAAAATTACCCATAAAAAGGTCATGTGTGACCGACCTCAAGCAGTTGTCCCTTGGGCACTGCGGTCACGCTCTCAGGTCACTAAGACCACCTCTAATCCAATTTCCTTTTCAGGTACCTCCAGAAAAACCCTTCCACGGTGTGGGCAACCGGGAAGTGATAACCGCCCTCATACCTCTAACAGCACTCAAGACCACTGTATTCATAATCAACCTCCGTCTTCACTTCCTATTATTCCTCCTACATCGACTTTCACCTCTGAACTTCCTTTTTCGGCTTCCCCCTCAAGTGTCACCATAGCCAACGATTCTAGTGCTCAAAACACTGTCCCAGGTCTACTGAAACCTCGCTCCAAACTACACATTGGAGCCTTCAACGTACGCACCCTGTCAAATCGGTCAACAGGCTTCCTTGGCTAGAACCCTAGAATCTCGTACCATTGATGTATGCTGTGTCTCCGAAACACGCATACAGGATCCCAGTGTGGTCATTCACTTGACCTCACCTCGGCGAAACGGAGAGCCAACGAGATACACCCTCCGTGTATCTGGTGACCCGACGGCCAGCTCTCGTGGACTGGCAAGCGTACGGATAGCACTAAGCTGTTCGGCTAAACGGCTCCGTAAGAACTCGGAAGGATAGGGACACACGTCGTTGCCTTTTTGTCGTTTCTGCCTACGCTCCCACTGACTGCAGCTCAGATGAAGTGAAAGATGAATTTTACAGAAAGCTATCTGAACTTCTTCAGAAAGCTAAACGTTCAGACATAGTACTCGTAGCAGGTGACTTTAATGCCCAGATAGGTAGTTTAAACCAAACAGAAAGGCATTTAGGTGGGTATTTTAGTATTCCGGCACAACGAACAGATAATGGTGATCGTCTGCTGCAACTGTGCTCAGACAATCGTTTATTTTTAGCAAACACAAATTTTAAGCATAAGGAGAGACATCGTCTAACATGGCGACCCCCTACACCAAACCAACGATGGACTCAAATAGACCATATTGCCATCAGTCATCGTTGGAGAGGGTCGGTAGAAGATTGTCGCTCATTCTGGAGTACCTGCTTGGACTCCGACCACGCCCTAATACGGGCACGCATCTGCTTGCGCCTCACTGGACGCAAAAAAGCCACATTAAAAAGACCCATTAGAACTGAATTGAGTAGCGAGAAAACCAAAAGTAGGTTCCAGGAACAACTGAGGTCACACTTAGGTAGTTCTGAAAACGAGGTTGACCCAGATGTTGCTTGGAAAGCTATACAAACAGCTGTGGAAACAGCAGTGACATCTATCAGTGATTTAAACCACAGGGTTACAAAGAACCAATGGATTTCCTCAAGGTCTGTTGCACTGATGGATTCTCGTAAACTCATCCCATCAGGCTCTGAACACGATGAAGAGCGAAACAAATCAGATCTAGGTTAAGCAAAAGTCTAAGGAACGACCGTGAGCAGTGGTGGGCAACGAAAGCAAAAGAGATGGAAAAGGCGGCGGCTATAGGGAACACAAGACAGCTCTACAGACTAATAAAAGAAACTGGAATTAATAAGTCAAGTGTAAGTCAGACTATTTCGGAAAAAGACGACACCTCATCTGCTCTCAGTCCAGACGTTTAGAACGATGGGCGGAACATTTCAGAGAACAGTTCAGCTGGCCTTCAGCTACTCTACAACTACCCTCCATTCCCAGACAGTGTGAATGGAACATTGAAGTAGGTCCCCCAACTCTAGCAGAAGTTCAAAAGGCTATAGTTAATCTGAAACGAGGAAGGGCAGCTGGTCCAGATGGATTGGCTCCAGAGGTCTTTAAGGATGGTGGTCCAATTTTAGCGATTAGGTTGACTAATATTTTAGCTAAGATCTGGGAGTTAGACGTTATTCCATCTGACTGGTCACAATCACTTATCGTCCCAATATATAAGAGAGGGTTAAAATCATCCTGTGACAACCATAGAGGGATTAGTTTAACTAATATAGTATCTAAAATACTAGCCTCGATAATTATCAGACGCCTAACTAAGACTCGTGAACTGCAAACACGAGAGAATCAAGCTGGCTTCAGACCTGGTCGTGGCTGCATCGACCACATATTCACCATTCGTCCGACAATGGTGGTCTTTCTTGACTTAAAAGCAGCATTTGACTCGGTAGACCGCGAGATTCTGTGGCAGTGTCTGTCATTGAAAGGCGTACCTCAGAAGTACATAAACCTTGTGAAGGCTCTTTACTCGAACACTACCAGTCGAGTCAGAGCTTATGGCGAACTGTCATCTGCTTTTGCAACCTCAAGTGGTGTCCGTCAAGGCTGTCCACTTTCTCCATTTTTGTTTAACTTCATCATAGACCTATTGATGGAAATAACATTCTCGTCGACTGAATTCTCGGGTATTGATCTTCTTCCAGGAGGTCCACTTATCGACTTAGAATACGCAGATGACATAGTCCTGTTTGGTGAAGACGCTGATAAAATGCAGAGTCTTTTGGTAGCACTAAGCAACAATGCCAGAATGTTTGGAATGCGCTTCTCTCCCTCTAAATGCAAGTTGTTGCTTCAGGACTGGTCTGCGTCAACACTGAACTAAGGATAGGGAGTGAAGTAGTCGAACGCGTTGACAACTTCACTTATCTTGGAAGTCTGATCAGCCCTAATGGGTTGGTGTCTGACGAAATCTCAGCACGGATTCGAAAAGCTCGCTTGGCTTTTGCCAACTTACGTCACCTATGGCGAAGGCGAGATATCCGTCTATCAATAAAAGGACGAGTATACTGCGCGGCAGTTCGTTCTGTTTTACTTTACGGCAGCGAAACGTGGCCATTAAAGGTAGAGGATACTCGAAAGTCACTAGTATTTGATCACAGATGTTTTAGAAATATAGCTGGCATCTGCTGGAATCACCGGGTAAGTAATAGTGAGGTTAGATGCAAGGTATTAGGGAATGATGGTAAACCAGTTGATGAGATTGTAAATCTAGATCGACTGAGACGGTTGGGCCACGTGTTACGTATGTCTGAACACCAATTACCACGACGTACAATGCTGACTAGTGTTGGGGATGGTTGGAAGGAAGTTAGGGGCGGCCAAACCAAAACGTGGCATCAGTGCTTGAAGACACTAACGTTTAGTCTGAGCACTGTTGGTGGATCCAGACTACTTGGTTGGGGTCCGCGTGACTATCGTAACCAATGGTTGGAGACTCTTGGTGACACGGCTCAGAATCGATCACAATGGCGTATACACTCTCTATCTTCCCTTAAACTAAGATATCAAAATTGCTTCATGTCTTTCTTTCTACCAACTAATTCTTTCTTCCTGTACTATATCCTTATTGCAATCATTCTTTTATATATTACCACCTCTGAATTAACTACTTTTATGAATCCGGTGTCCATCTTGTTGTGTTAATGAGGTGTGGCAACTTGGACCGATGCATATATGTGCCTGGTCCTACGTTGTAGCTGACTGACTGACAGCTGTTCGTGTATCTTTCCACACAACATCTGGATCAGTCTCGTTTTCAGAACTACCTAAGTGTGACTTTAGTTGTTCCTGAAATCTGCTTTTGGCTTCCTCGTCACTGAGTTTAACTCTGAGGTGTCTTCTTAATGTGGTTTTTTTGCGTCCAGCGAGGTGCAAGCAAATGCGTGCTCGTATTAGAGCATGTTTGCGGTCTAAATCAGGTATTCCATAATGAGCGACAGTTTTATATCGAGCCTCTCCAACGATGACTGATGGCAATATGGTCTATTTGAGTCCATCGTTGGTTTGGTGCAGGGAATTGCCTTGTTAGACGATGTCTCTCCTTATGCTTAAAATTAGCGCTTGTTAAAAATAAACGATTGCCTGAGCAAAGTTGCAACAGACGGTCACCATTATCGTTCGTTGTGCCGGAATACTAAATTACCCACCTCAATGCCTTTCTGTTTGGTCTAAACTATCTATCTGGGCGTTAAAGTCACCTCCTATGAGTACTATGTCTGAACGTTTAGCTTTCTGAAGAAGTTCAGATAACTTTCTGTAAAATTCATCTTTCACATCATCTGAGCTGCAGTCGGTGGGAGCGTAGGCAGAAACGACAAAAAGGCAACGACGTGTGTTCCTATCCTTCCGAATTCTTACGGAGCCGTTTAGCCGAACAGCTTAGTGCTATCCGTACGCTTGCCAGTCCACGAGAGCTGGCCGTCGGGTCACCAGATACACGGAGGGTGTATCTCGCTGGCTCTCCGTTTCGCCGAGGTGAGGTCAAGTGAATGACCACACTGGGATCCTGTATGCGTGTTTCGGAGACACAGCATACATCAATGGTACGAGATTCTAGGGTTTTGGTAAAGGAGGCCTGCTGGTCGATTTGACATAGAGTGAGTACTTTGATGGCTCCAGTGTGTAGTTTGGAGAGAAGTTTCAGTAGACCTGAGAGTGTTTCGCGCACCATAATCGTTGGCCAGGGTGACACTTGATGAGGAACTTTAGAGTTGAATGTCGATATAGGTGGAATAATAGGAATTGAAGAGGGAAATTGATTATGAATACAGTGATCTTAAATGCTAGAGGTACGGGAGCGGTTATCACTTCTCAGTTGCCCATACCCTGGAAGGGTTATCTAGAGGTACCTGAAAAGGAAATTGGATTAGAGGTGGTCTTTTTGACCTGAGAGTGTGGTCGCAGTGCCCAAGGGACAACTGCTTGAGGCCGGTCACACACGACCTTTTTGTGGGAAGTTTTCGTGTCACCTCCGTACTTGTTGGGACCCTACCGCAGGAGACGGATATCCGTGGGATAAGGTGAGGTGTTACAATTTGGACACGCGGGCAGTATCACAGCCCTCACACAAATAAGTGATAACTGTATAGCGTATATGTATTTGGTGCCGTCTTGTAACTGTTTGTGTTCAAATAAAAAACAGTGACACCAAGTCGGTCGTCGTAACTGTTCTCGAACACACACTGCTGAACCTCCTCATTACTAACATGGTGCTGCCACTAAATGTTAGCTATCTTTCAGGGACAATGAAGTGTGATTTATTTTGGCTCATTTAATCGTTTTCTTGATCTGATTCTCTCTTCGTCTATCTCTTCAAGAATCCTCTCCCTTTTTTGTATAGTGTATTACTATTTTGATACCACTTTATCTCAGTAATTATTTGTTCAGATAAGTAAACAAGTGTTGTGTGGATAGTGTGAGCTAACATGAACATTTCCTTCATTAGTAATCATCATCATGGTTTCGTCTGGTTCGGGATACTACCTGGGTAACCAAAGTTAAACAGATACTTTTCTTCGGATGACACTCGTCAAAATTTTGAGTTACAATTTACAAGACAATAGGGTAATATAGTGGGGTGTAGTTCAATGCAAATTTCCTGTTCTAGGATTCTGAACCAATGTGGGCCATTGGTTTGGAATCAGGGTTTTCCAGCTGACTTAGGTGTATCCTACGTATTGCTCAAAATAAAAAAGCAGTAATTTTGTTTGTCCAGTTCCTTATTGAGGCTCTGTGCTGTCAAGCTTTAGAGATACAAACCTGTTAGCAGTGATATATTCCCATGATTTCATTCGTTTTTTAAATACGGTTGCCAATACGGAATACCATCTAATGCTTTTGTAGTTTCATCATTCAGCTTTTTTTGTACCCGATACACAAGACCTCAAGGTTGCCTTTGACAAATCTTTTCTTGGTGTAATCAGAGAATATTTCAACCAGGTTTGTTGCAGGGTTCCTAACTAATTTCGCAAACGTTTATTTAATTTTCTTGCTTTATGGGCAATCCATTTATATTACTACAAGCTAGTATGCATGATGAGGTAAGTGAAATATTAAACACTTAAGTCCTAGATATCCTAGTATTTTGACTGTAAAAAGGACCTCATAAATACAGACAGAAATCCGAGTCATTATCTACTCCTCACATCCTCGTTATCAATCTGTAGATATTGCGGTAATAAATTTTCCAGCTGGTAACTCTAATACAAAGGTCTAATTCGCTAGCGCCAAAAAAGTCCTCGATTTATCCTTTACAAAACCTAAGTTGCTTTTATGTGGTTATCCAGTAGTTTTATTGGAATTTCATTTTTATTTCTTATAGCAACTAGGAGAGTTTTTTCAAGTCATAATAGATTCCATCGATTCTTCCAATTCAAATAGGAGTTTGGAGAGTTCTCCAAAAGTCCGTGAAAGCAACATAATTCCTGTAACACAAAATTCCAGTACATTTGGTACATTTTATCACTCCGGTGCTTTGCTTTTAAATAACGAAGGAGTTGTCGTAACCGGTTTGTTAGCAACTTTGAAGTCTATAGACTTTTGCTTCATACTGAAGGATAATCTGTCTTACATGGATAAACCGGTTTGTCTTTTAATGTTTAAAAAGTTTTTTAATATCCATTTCTATATATAAATTTAAAAGTAACAGCGAATATCGGAAAATTGTGATTTTGCACCTTTCTAAATGGTTTGTGTTCAGTTGCTCGAATCATCGGCATAAATGCTACATGTGTTGAGTGAAAATAAATACTTTTTGTTGTTATTGTGAGCCATTCAAATTCCACCATTGCGGAAATTTTCAATACTGCTCCATTGGCTTACTAGTTAAATTTTTAATAATTGAGTCCTTGGGTTTGTTTCAGAGACTGATTAAAAATATTCACAGTTTGAATAAACTACCTGTTGAACAGTTTTGAGTTTTTTGGATGTTCAGACTATCTTATGCTTTAATTGTTCTGTTCAACAGTCTTCCACTTATTTTCAAAAGGCTTTTATAAGTTTGAATTGTTCTGCATTGGTTAGTTGTCTATACTTAATTGGTTGGTTGCAGTTAGGATTTTATTTGATTTACTCCTATAAAGCCACGAGCAAAGGAGCGTGCAACTCTGTTTGACAGTCTAATGGGACCATCGCTCTGCTCAGAAAATGATAAAGAGATTAAATCGTTAACGAATTATTTTAAAAAACATCTGAGTTGGATGACGGGAAAATAAGGAGGTCGCAGCAATCCATTTTCCCGAATTGTTCTGTAGATTTTGCTAAAATGAAGAGTGCCACAGAAACTGTGGACAACTCACCGATGCCTCTCATCCTGGCATATGGGAATCTATTGATGCTACAAAAAGTAACAGCCTAACGCATTGGAAATAGAACATGTGATAAAACATAAAATACAAGTGAGCAGGATCATGCATTAGACTGGCTGTTGGGGATTATGAAAAAAAAACAGACCCATGCCGGACTATTTACATGGAGTAGCACACAATTTGAATTTGCGTATCTCTATTTTAATGCTCTCTCGTGCTCGAATCACCCTTATTAATCCTGTCCTTTATTGATGTGAGCTTTTTCTGACAGTACCCTTTTGTGTGTTTCCTTATTGAACGATTCCCTTTTTCTCGAAAGTCAGTAAATATCCATTGATTTTTATTTTCAGTTACACGTAATACCGTACTACATATATTTACAGGCTAACTTGAATAGACTTGAAAAGTTATATTCAAAAGTAAAGTAAGTTTTTGGATGAAGTTTGGCTGTGCTTGCTTTGACATGTTCAGGGGTATTTTATGTATGTATAATTAGTTATCAATAAAACGTCGTTTCTGTTGTTTGTTAAGACAGTCAACTTTATCATGCATGAGGATAGTGTGACGTGTCTGTGAAATAAACGTCAAATGGAGAGTAGCAACAGGATTTGTTGTTTAGGAGAGATATGTTTATTCTACGAATCCATGGATTGATACACGTAATATTTTAGGTGGTAATATTTAAACTAAGTGATATTCTCTTATCGTCTAAATTACTCACCCTTCAAGGTGAATTAGGCGTCATTCACAAGATCTCAGGGCTAACGTGGGGTATTATGCGGTCAATTTTTAGTTGCGATACTACTACAATCTCTACAGATATAGTAATTTTGATGGTTAAGAAAGTGTGAGTCCTTGGTTCCTCTGAAAAGTTATTGTTCTTATATTCAACATACGAAAGTTTTATTGGTTGCATTATAATTACAAATTACAACTTTGGTGTTAATATAAAATAAATAGAATATGACTAACAGTGTAATACAGGACCCACTTTTCTTATTTATGTCTCATCAGCTGGATATACCCTCGCAAAATTGATCTATTTTATATTAACTTTTGTCAATGGCTATATCGAGGCGATTCGCACAGGATACACGTACGTCGAAAAGAGACTGAACAAATTTCATTTAAAACACGGAAAAACATGGTAATCCAAACCATTTGAAGTCCAGTTATAACTTCCAAGTTGTTCTTTAGTGAAATAGATAAAACATCTTTGTCGGTAAATAAAATGGTTAGTAACAGGATGTTAATGGGACATAGATCTGATTAAAGCATGCTCAATGCACGAATGCTTTGGTGCACGCTGATTGGCTAATTCTTATCCAATCAGCGTTAGCCAATACTTAGTGAACACTAGAAATCTCATGTGAAAAACTACAAATATACTAACGTTTTCCCTATTGCACTTGCTTGCTTCTTACTTCCATCTAACTTTGTTATTTGGAATATAATCTCTTTTCCTGTACAACCGTGTTCTGATTTGGGGGACTTGTCGAGTGAATCGATGTCCGAGAATACTAAGCAATAGGAATAGCTGGGTTATAACCGTAAGAGAGGATTATAACAACTCTACAATCTTCTCATGTAAAAACTATAAGTATACTAACGTTTTTTTAATTGTGCTTCTTACTTCCATCCCACCTTGTTATTTGGAATATAATCCCTTTCCTGTTCAATCGTGTTCTAATTTGAGGACTTGTCGAGTGAATCGGTGTCCAAGAATACTAAGCAATAGGAATAGCTGGGTTGTAATAAGAGAGAATTATAACACAGGATTTTTTAGATACGATTTCTGAGTGTACTAATTTAGTATATCTACATCATTTGTAAGTCTTCAGTTGGTAAAAGCACTGACCATATTTACAAATAAGTATTTTGATCAGGATTGTGTAGCGTGGACTACGTAGTTATGCTTCTGAATTTAAGTTTAGATTGTCTGAAATCATACGCTGAGTTTTGTATACAGAGGTAACCATCAAAGTTGAAGAAATATCTGGATTGCAGCAGGAATTAGATAAGCGACCTCTAGGTAATCCATTCACCGTTATATCAATTGAGTTACAAGACTTAACTACTCATCATGTCTCAATTTCACTGAAAATTTGGGTAGAACATTTGATATTTTCATTACTATTTTAGGTGTTGTTCTGTGTGCATTTAAAACTACTCCATGATCTCAGATGTACAGATGAAATCTAAATCATCCAAATCTGTCCTCAATCATAAACAATGCATAGATTTTTCGTTTTGTCATTTATTAATATGTAAAATTCTGGCACTTTCGGCATAATTAATCACTACATTACACAAATATATAAAATGCGTAAAATAGTTTGGTGGTAAATAACTAGGTAACTAATATTAAATTCGGATTACTTATATTTAGTTACCCTCCAATAGGTAAATTGAAATGACGATAAAGCAATGAGACGGAGTTGATTAAAATAACTCCGTCTTCTGATTACTCTATAGAAATTTATAAAACGGACTAACTGCTTTTAATTGAAATGAATTACTTCATTCTAAACAACTAACTGTAACTATTATATATTCTGGAGAGTTTGTAGATTCAAACTGTCCAATTATCTCACAGTTCTCATCTGGATTTGTAATTCACTAACAACTATAAGATTAAGACAACGACCCCCTATTTCACTGAATTACTATAAAAACAGAATGATTTGCTTATTCTTATCGATCGTCTTTGTAATGTCTGTTTTCAGAATGTTTTTAACTATAATCACACAAAATATACATATTTAATTTGTTTTGAATAAGTAAACTCTAATTCTATTCGTAAATTTTATTATTCTCTCTGCAATGACCAGTCGACGGAGGGAATGTTAGTTATAACCTAAATTTTCAAGCTATCTCAGAAAGAAAATGTTCATAAAATGGTAAAATCAATTTGTAAATCCTTTTACAATCTAGAATTAGACTGTATCAGTGAAGTTTCGAATTTGTAATTTGTATACATGTAGAAATATTGTGTAGGAAAACTCATTACATATATCAGAAATACATATATATCATTATAAATAAATAGGCAAACAAATCATGTATTGAAACTACAAATTTCACTGATTAGTCTTGTTAAGTCTCCTTATTCCACCTAGTGCATTGGGACAATCGACTTTATCTGACTGGTTTTTACATCAAAACACATCTTGGTTAAAGCACAAATATATTTCAAACAAAACAATAATTTAGGTTACAAAATGTCAGTGTACATATAAATTTCACACAAAAATATTCTCGAGTTAGAAATAGACCAATCAGTCTACTCCAACATAACGTTGTTTGAAACAAACTCCGAACAGGTTACTGTCTTATTAACATGCCTTTTACATTGAGCGTTCTCTTACTCAGCCCTTAATAATTATTACTAAAATCCTCAACTGACTTCTGTACTGATTACATAATTACACCATCAAGTCAGATACATTATTTTCCACTAATTTTTAATGGACTATAACATCTAATAAGGATTAAGTGTTGACTATTTGTAAAACCGTTGTGATACATTTTTGTGGATATATTATTTATTACTCGAGCGATAAATACTGAGAAGGAATTTTTCATTTTAGTTTATGTCATCCAGCAGATTTATCATCTTCAATCGACCAGAAGAATTTTTTAGAAGATTTATGCAACGTACTGAAGTAAGTTTCTGTATTTTAATTTGTAGCAGCATTTATTGCTTTTATTGTTTATGAATTCACAAACGTGTTTCATTGGTCCAAGCACATAAGTGTCAATCACTGGTTTATTGTCAATGTAGAACTTTACAGTTTGTGTATATCACTTTGAGGGTCCTTGCGAATTGGTCCGTTCAAAGAACAGAATTTATTCATAAAGGCCTCTAAAACGGAATGTTTTACACTTCTTCATTCTCTTGATTGGCTTTAAAAACTAACTTTCACCGGTCTCTGCTGATTTCAGTGTTTGGTGTGAATTCCTTTGGAAACTAGGAATGAGTATAAGTGTAATAAATTTCTAATCAATTCTGAAAGGCTTTCATTCTAACTGTTATCTAAGATTGTACTAAAAATGTTCTTTTCAAACATAGTCCTTTCTATTGTTTATTTTGCGTGTATTCCTTGTTTGAGATATTTCCCGTCACGTATGTTGAATTTTTATTACTTGAATTCATGAGTCGGTGTAAGCTAGACCACCATTAAAAACCTGGAAGCACTAGACGGCCATTTTGTCCTGATCCGGGTCTTCTCAGCAGTGAACACCCACGATCCCTCATGTGGGACTCGAGAGGAAACGCTTAACCTCTCGACCATTGAGCCGTCATCCAATAGTATTAATGTCTAACTTCAATCTATCCATGATCTTGCGCAAGCATTCATCCATTGTTTAAGGTAGATACCTGTCTCTACCCGACACGGACTGGACTCCACTGGTCACGGCTTCTCACTAGAACTCCAGGAAATCTATCTTGAATCCAGTCACTAGTAAGCACATGCAGTTTTGTCTAGTTGCGGTGATATTCTTCAGTTGAAACTGTACATAAGCTTGTCCCTCAAACCGTACCAGAAAACGTTTATTCACATTTTTGAAATAAACAATTGGAGCAGATGAATCACTGGGCATACTTTTGAATAATATTTTGCCGAAATGATCATTTCCAAATAAATACTTCCATTCAGTTAATTTTTTTTGTTTTACCAAATAAATTTTGTCCTTCAAATCCTTTTTAAGGAAACGAATCGATCGAGAAAATACAATAAATCAAAGACTAAACAATGAAATTACACACCTTTCTAAGCAGATGGAATCCATGAAACTTGAAAATCGGAGTTTGTATATCACTGTAGCACAACTGAAAAAGGATCAAGTTGGTTTAAATAACATGTATTCAGAAAATATGGTAAATGTCAATGCTTTATTTGTATAAATTGTATGAAAGAACTTCACTGAAATCATGTACCGATCAATGTTAGACCACTATAAAAAAACCTGGAATTTCCAGGTGGTCTAACATTGATCGGTTTATGATTTAAATGGAACTCAACAATTTCCACAACCCTATACTTATATTAAAGAATGTTTAAAATTAAATCACTGTTAAATTAACTTCTTACTATGTCTTAACTACAATCTTGCCAGTTTAAAACAAACGGACGTTTAGCACCGATATTAGGGTACAATGTAACCACCACCTAATGCCAAATTTAATCTTCTTAATAGCTCATGATTACTCAGTAAATATCATACATATCCACCAGTTAATTTTGAATTGACTTATTATAGACTGACTATACTTCACTTCTGTACACCCCGATCTGTTTGAAAACTTCGTTTTATCACTTTGTTCCAAGTCTCCCAAAATGTTATTTACTAGTTTTGTTTCATGGAACATTTTTAATACTTAGTCCTACTAAGCTTCTGTTTTAGTTTTTTCGTCACTGATGAAAAAAATCTGTGGGTGGTAAAGATGTTTTTCAATTCCATGACTTATACGTACATTCTAGCTCTACAGAATATTCAAATGGGTGCTAGAAGATTTACTACTAGTATAAGGATTCAGTAGTAATCGGATAAAAATCTAATCTAAACAGCTTTCTATAATATTTGGATTGTTTGTTACGCATCTTTAGTCACTCACTTAAAATATCTGTTTAACTTCCTATTTAATGAATCGACTCTTTATACGAAAAAAACGTTTGTAATTTTAGTTTATCACTTTATATCGGACAAATGTTTCGAAAATGATACTGATGATTTTTGTTAATAAACCATTCTGCTAAGCTGTAGAAAATTATTTGGTCAAATTTCCTGCTAATTGAACAATTTGCGATATCATTTCATTATTTAGGCACTTCACACATATCATTTGACTTAAACAGACAACTATCATCGGCCAGTGGTTGTGTTCGGAGTTAAGCCACTAAGGCACATGTCCGAACCCTGCTCCACGTACTTCAGTATGTACAACCGGATATTTTCATAAGCTCTCGTATGTAATGTGGCTCGAAGTCAAGTGTATAAGTTTCTAGTCGGTAAATGAGTTAGGTACTCTGAAATATCTGGTATTGGTGATATAGTGAGGTTTTTCGGCCAGGAAAGATGATCTGAGTGACGTTGTGTGTTTAAAAGTTGCCTGGCCTCCTTTGTATTTTTTCAGTCCGAAGTTTCTCTCTTTTCTTGGCCGGATTTATACCCACATCTATTGAGATCCAGTGTCGCTTTTCCTTCTGTTCTGTTAGTAGATGGGTGCTTGTTTTGTGTTTCTTTATCATCCTCTCCTCCATTTCGCTGTATTGGAATTAGGAAATATTTCGTTAAGAATAAGATAATTTTAAGTTTTCTTCTGTATGTCTGAATTGGTGTAAAGTAAATTAAGTGGGATAAATCCTTTACGATATATGGGTTTATGGTAGAAGTTCTAAATCCAACTCATCAGGGTTTATGAGTATGACTATGAGTGTATGACTAAATACGACTCCTAAAATAAAACATGTATAGCAGTCCAGTTCAAATTTAATGAGTTTTTCTGAAAACTACATTTAATTTTACTGTAAGATTATAGTCCAGCAGTTAGAAGTACTTTAATTTTGTAATAATAAATTCTCTGTTATTTAATTCCCCATCCACTTATTGTGTATTTCAATTATCTAGGAAGCAGTGAGTCGCATAAATCAATTAGAGTCTGAATTAAAACATTGTCAAAAGACAAATGAAGAAAATGCTGAACTTGTTGAATCGATTCGAAGTCATTTAGATGAATCAAATAAAAGATGTAATCAGTTAACTCGATATTTATTCGTAAGTGGTTTGCTTTATTTTCTGCACACTAGAGTCTAACTTTTTCTTTGAATGATATTATGAAAAAATCGTTGAAAGGAAGTCATAGATTTGTTCACAGATCTTACTCTTTTGTGAATACCATCTGGATTATATTTTTTGAATTCAAAATTGAACAATCAAGTGTTGTAGCTCTACAGGTAACACGATGTTCTCTGGTGTTATAATTCTCTCTTATTGCACTCCAGCTATTCCTATTGCTTAGTATTCTTGGACACCGATTCACTCGACAAGTCCTTAAATCAGAACACTGTTGAACAGGAAAGGGATTATGTTCCAAATAACAAGGTTGGATGGAAGTAAGAAGCACAATCGAAAAAAAGTTAGTATATTTATGGTTTTTACGTTAGGAGATTGTAGTGTTCTCCAAGTATCGACTAGCACTGATTGGATAAGAATGAGCCAATCAGCGTGCAGCAACGCAAACGTGCATTGAGTATGCTTTAATCAAATCTATGTCCCGCTAACACCCGGATATGCATATACACTGGTGTTAAATATCGTTAATCGCTTAGCATTAAATTTATTTCTTTAGTCTCTGGGATTTTTTAACCTAGTAGAATCTCAGAATATATGACTTTAAAGAATCAAGTCACTACTCAGTAAGTAATTTGTCTGGATTCTTATTTTACGTGAATTAGAATTACGACTATAATTCAACTGTGGATTTTCACAAAACGCAATCATTACCACATCCTCTTGATTCTGAAGGTAATGTCAATTATTCCTTAACTTGTTCCATTATTTTAAATCGCGTGTTGCTTCATCAGGTTGTTTGCCCGTAGTCTTGCCACCCGGAGGCTCCATGCCCCCAAATGCCCTGGTATGGCCGAGAGTGGGGTGGCCCCGCCCTCCCTCTCGAAATGCTCTCACACGGTCACGTGCATACAGCCTGTGCCAGGGAAGTCCTACTCACTGCCTTCTCGTGGCGGGGTTGTTGTTTACGAAAATGAGAGGACGAAAAGCGAATGTTCGGCGCTTTAACCGGATCTCAAACCAATGGTGCATATGGGTCCTAGTATCCTGCGAGAACAAATGGCGTATGAACCAATTTTTGGTCACCGGCTACCATGGGACTGCATCTCCTCACAATGCTTCACTGCCTTGTGGGTTAGACCTTTAGGTCAAAGGCTCGGAGTGTGGCCTCCCAGGGAAACCACCTGCTTCGGTCTGGGCACTCGGGCAGTATCACAGCCCACACAAAATTATGATGAACTGTCTATATTTATGGAAAATACTCTTCTTGCTGCGGTTAACAATCAAACGATTCACATTATTATTATTATTATTATTATTATTATTATTATTATTATTATTTACCACGTCACTTATTCACTCTCTTTTATTCCCACTCTGTGTATCCTTATTTTCGACTCATACAGCAGCTCTCCTATAGTGGAAATTCGACTCGATCTAACGTTCTCGAGTCACTGCCTGATTGAAAATTGTATGCTACCACCGAATACGAGTACTGAAGCAGTTTTTCTGAAACCACGTTCACCATTCAAACTGGCTGCCTTTAACGTTCGCACACTTATTCAGGTCAGACAACAGATAGGGCTGGCTATAGTGACATGGTGTCATGGCATGAAAGAAAGCTGCAAAGGGCTGGCTTCTGTCGGTCCTTCATGACTCCCTGGCTGGGGCCCTAGAGATGGTGAGATACAGTGGCTAGAGACGTTATCAGATATGGCTCAGAATAGAAGCCAATGGCGATCCTGCTGTAACCTTCTTTTACTTTCTTCATAAAAAGTGGTTGCTTCTTCCTTAACTGAAAGATTTCTTCTGATTGTACCTTTTCGTTTCCTCCATTATGATTATTACACTTCCTTACACTAACCTGTACGTTATTGTTCTTTTTTTACGCTCCTTACCTTTTTTCTTTTTCCTTCTCTTTAAATTCTCATTGTTTTGTGTGGCGCATATGTATTCAGTGCCCTCTTGTGTGACGAAATCTCATCATGGATACAGAAGGCTCGACTAGCTTTTGCCGACTTGAGTCATTTATGGCGTAGACGAGATATCCGTCTATCAAACAAAGGACGTGTTTACTGCTCAGCAGTTCGTTCCGTCCTACTTTATGGGAGTGAAACATGGCCGGTAAGAGTAGAGGATATCCGTAGGTTACTAGTATTTGATCATAGGTGTCTTCGAAACATTGCTCATATATCATGGGACCATCGAGTAAGTAACACAGTTGTTAGGAAACGGGTACTAGGTAAGGATGGCAAATCAATTGATGAAGTAGTGAAACTTCATCAGTTGAGATGGCTGGGACACGTGTTACGTATACCAAACCACCGACTGCCTCGACGTGTGATGTTCAATGGCATAGAAGTAGGTTGGAAGAAAGCTAGGGGAGGCCAGATCAAAACATGGCACAAGTCCATGAAGTCACTGACAAATGGACTGAACCATGTTGGTAGGTGTAAACTACCTGCGAAATGATAACAACCGATGATTAGAGACCTTGAATGACATGGCTCAAAATCGTTTGGAATGGCGCAGGTGCAGGTGTTCTCCTAAATTCTAATCTTCTGAATTCTTCATGTCCCTTCCTTTTTTTCCTCTTTCCAAATTTATTTCACTGTATTATACTCCTTGACTAGCATATTCAAGCCCTAATGTTTCCGATTACTGCTTATACTCTTACTACCTCTGCCATTACGGGATTTGAATCGACAACTGCATCTCTGTGCTAATGTGGTATGGCAACTCGAACTGATGTACGTACGTGTTATACGTTATACGTTGTTACTGACTGACTGACTTCCTGAAGAAACAGATGCGATAGCATTGGTAACTGAGCTTCTATTAAGTTTGAAAGTTTTGGTGGAATCAGTGATACTGCTAAGACTGAAGTTTGTATTACTGAGAGTTTGTTGCAAAGTAGTTAGCATCTGTATCAGGGATATGAACTGCTCCTTAAAATGCTTCGTCCATCGTTCTAAACGTCTAGGCTGAGAGCAGATAAGAGTGTTGTCTTTTTCCGAGATCGACTAACACTTGATTTCTTAATTCCAGTTTCTTTTATTGGTTGGAAAAGCTGTCTTGTGTTCCCGACAGTCGCTGACTTTTCCATCTCATTTTCGCTCTTTGTTGTGTCCGGAGCCTGATGGGATGAGTTTATGAGTATCTATCAGGGCAATAGACTTAAAGGAAATCCACTGGTTTTTCGTAACCCTTTGGTTGAAATCACTAGTAGATGTCACTGCAGTTTCCACAGCTGTTCGTGTATCTTTCCAAGCAACATCTGGATCAGTCTCGTTTTCAGAACTACCTAAGTGTGACTTTAGTTGTTCCTGAAATCTGCTTTTGGCTTCCTCGTCACTGAGTTTAACTCTGAGGTGTCTTCTTAATGTGGTTTTTTTGCGTCCAGCGAGGTGCAAGCAAATGCGTGCTCGTATTAGAGCATGTTTGCGGTCTAATCAGGTATTCCATAATGAGCGACAGTTTTATATCGAGCCTCTCCAACGATGACTGATGGCAATATAGTCTATTTGAGTCCATCGTTGGTTTGGTGCAGGGAATTGCCTTGTTAGACGATGTCTCTCCTTATGCTTAAAATTAGCGCTTGTTAAAAATAAACGATTGCCTGAGCAAAGTTGCAACAGACGGTCACCATTATCGTTCGTTGTGCCGGAATACTAAATTACCCACCTCAATGTCTTTCTGTTTGGTTTCAGCTACCTATTCGGGCGACAACTGGGCATCAAACTAATTGTTCACCATACAAACAAGTGAATGAATTCTCGAAGAGATAAATGATGAAGCGTGAATCTAGTCCAAAAATAATTATGTGAAAATAAATGAACAAAACTGGTAAATAATGAAAGAAACAGTTCAATTAGATAACAACCTGAAAGGATTCTCTCAGTCAAGAGAGTTTCTTTTCCTCCAGTGGTTTGTATTATGAGCCATGTCTGATAACGTCAAAATTCGTTGAGTTGTGCTATCTCTGAGAGCCCAACTAAGGTAGTCGTTATGGACCAGCAGGTGATATGCCCATGAAGCTTTGTTTCATCTCACAGTTTCATATCATAAACTGACTACCCTCTTTTTCTGACCAATCCCAACGTCAGTAAACAGATCAAGATGTTGAGGTCGCTCTGATGACGTTCGTGGCACTCATTTGAGCCACCGTAGCTAGTGTCTCTAGGCAGTGACACTAAGTCAGTTGTCGTCACTGTGCTCGAACACACACTGTCCAACCTCCTCACTACTAACATGGTGTTTCCACTGAATGTTAGTTATCCCCATATAGTAAGACGATATCATCCGGGTACTCGAAATCAAAAAACCTTGCTCCAGGTAACAGATCTACATGTTTACTACCATCAGAGCTGCTTCCGGAATCCTGTCAGTGGCAAGGCTGAGGAGGAATACTGAGATTGGGTAAGCTTACCTTACTCCGCTACCGAAATAGGAAAAAGGTTAGAGGGTGGTTGTATGTCTTCACTCTATCTCAGTTGTCTGTGTACAGAGCCTTCAAGATGTCGACAAACCTGTCATCTACATCTTTTTAAGACAGGCAATCCCGGAGTACACTTTGTTCAAGGAGTCTAAAGCGACCATGTCATCACTCATATTACTTCGCTAGAGTTTTGAACACCTGCCTCGAAGATGCAGCAGATGTCGACATCACGACTTTATAAACAAATAACCAAACGTATGTGTTATCTGGTCTGCATTCAGGTGGGAACGTTGGAGGTCAGTTTAAGTAATACACGTAGTTTCAGAAAGGCTGATCCAGATTCCGTATTTGGTGGCAACATTCCGAATTTCGACCCGTTTGCAACTTGAAATAGTTTAAACAGTACAGACCTTCAACCAAAAAACGACTATTTCAAAGTTAATAAAACTATTAGGTTATGAAAGCCCATTTTTATGGACTGTAGTAATTTGGACGCATTCTCCGACATTTATTTTGTACAGGAATATGATTGTTTTAAAACACTGTCGTGGTATATAAATGTTACTATCTATTTATTTTCAAAATATACATTTTGTTATCTAAATACTCATATTTTGTGAAAGAGAGGCAAACAAGTCACTCGTTAGGTTATTTTTCATTTAGAATATTAAACCGAAAATTCATAAGCTTATCATTGCATATTAATAAATGTCTGTAGATCCATGTGTTGTGTAACTATATTTAATCTAATGTATAACCATTTGACCATTGGACTGGTTTCTAAAACAAAATTTCTTAAAAACTATACGTGTTATAAATGTGTAGTGAATTCAGTAAGATGAGTTCACTTCATCCTATAATGTTCGTGAGTTTATATATTATTACTACAATCATTTTTAACATGTTCAGTTTCACGAACTCGCAATCTAAATGTACTCTGTTTCTTTTTTCTATAATTAATTTTTTCAGGATTCCCAGTCGTCACTTGAACATAAACAAACTATAATTAAACAATTAGAAGCTAAGTGTAAAGGAATGACAAATATGATTGAACAGATGAACGAGAGGTAAATATGGATAACAAATCTGTTTTATTAAACCTTTGTCCATGAATTACTGGACTCAAAGCAAGCTATTGTTTTGTTAATAAAATTATATTAAGTATTAGTTTTTTATGGTTATGTTACCCTGGTTTGTTATTATAGATTCACCCAAAGTAAATTTCGATGGATGAGAAACACAACTAGTTCTTTAAAACCAGAGTTTCATGATGATAATTACCGTTAAGAAATATGTATGTATAAGCTTGATTAATCATCTGTTTGATTTTTATTAAAACACTATGGTGCACTTTTGTAAACATCTAATTTCTGGTTGTGAGTGTATAAAGTCTTTTTCTCTAATCCTACGCATTTTTGTTGTCACTTTTTCCTTTATGTTTTTGAGATTCAGTTCACTCAGTTGTTGATCAACATTTGCTTTCTGCATATATTGTCTGTTTATACCGGATTTATGTATGAATTTAGGATTCAATAGATTAGGAATTGAACAAGTATGTTTACATGTTTGAATCATATTTCATTTGCATAACTTTTGGGCAATCAGATAGTATGTATTAGCCTCTTGCAATATGTGATTTAAATGTACACAAATTATCACTTACTTAGTGAGCAAAATTTTTAGTTTCCCAAACTATATTTGACTCTAATTTAAACTCCGATAACTTGGATAACTGAAACACCATTAGGATATAAGAAACTGGACATCTTTTCTTTCATAATACTCAACTCAAATGTTCAGCTTATCCTTTAATTCGCATGGTCTCATAATTGAGTCTAATTGAAGCTTCCTGGATTATGATTTTTGTTAATATCTGGAAAAACTCTGAGTACGAAGAAATATTATACAACTGTTTCATCCGTAAAGTCATGAACTGACGGTTTGAGCTTTATGAGGAAACTAAGCATACTGTTTTAGACTCATTTAATGGTTTTAATCTACTGTTGACTTTGTTAAGCGATATGAGACATGATGATTTGGTTTGCGACAATTGTATACTATCAGAAACTCACGCAAACACTGTACCTCAAAGCTGACCGCTTAATCCTGTAGTTGGTAGATAAGTTGCGTTAGTTTAAGGATTGACATAATGCAAAATTGATTACAGTAAGTGCAGATTCGTTTATTATTTTTCCCATAAATTGTGAGTTCTAGCATCGACTTATGTTTCCTATCGTTTTGTTGTTTTTTTTTTCGAAATATATTTCCTATCTTATTTCACTGACTCCATCGAGAACACAATTTCAACTCTTTCACCTTAAATCTTATTTTTCTTACACTGATGATGCGAAATGTTACTACTTAAACCAACGCAAATTTATGTCTATTTCTACGTTCTCTATGATTAACAGACGAAACAGTAATGTATTTATGAAGGCTTAAGTAATAAATATTATGTAATCCTAATAACTAATATATATATATATATATATATATATATATATATATATATATATATATATATATATATAATATATATATGTTCCGTTTTTTATTTAATAGTTTTTCCCCTTTTTGTTTACACTTAGAATAGCTAAGCTTACTAATGAAAAGGTTTCACAGGAACGAGATTTATATAAACTACGCGAAGAGTTGTCAAACGCAGACACAAAATCTGTTGAGCAGTTAAAAGTGATTGAAAATCAAGCTAGTCAGATCGAAAGATTAAAAACTGAATTGAATGGGCAAACAATCGAGTTGAATAATTCAAAGATGGCTTCTGACCAGCTAGTTTTGTGTAAATTAGTAAGATTAATTAATTGCATACATTTTAATATTACAGTCATTATTTCTATTCAATAAATCCTATTTCAGTGATGATTTTTGGTAATCATTCATTGTGTAAGTTATGCTAATAGTCAGGAGAAAACTTCACTAAAAACATGCGATTTGTTTACTTTTTTGCTTTTGTGTTCTAAACAAGTGTATTACTTTCTTCTAAAATTGATGTGCATGAAGTTATAGTTTGAAGCTTGATGGATTGTGGACCTTTCATGCCATAATGTTGCGCGTATTCAGCTTAGAGCCTGGCTCAAATGTGCGTTTGTTTAAGTTGCTACACTATTTTAGCACAAGGAGATAAAGTTAACACGATAAATAACTAAGGAATGAAAGTGATCGATTCTGAGTCATTCAAAGTCTCCAGCCACTAATTCCAGTTACCGGGTAAACCCTAACCAGGCATTTTGGACCTGCCAACAGGGTCCAGACGAACGATTATGGATAATGTCATGTTTTAGTTTAGCTACTCCTACATTTCTCCCAGCTTACTCTTACACCAGTTAACATTACAAATCGAGGTAAGTGGTGCTTAGCCATGGGCAGCATACGAAAATTTACAGTCTCATCAACCTGTTTGTTACCTTTACGTAGTACCTTTTGTGTAACTTCAACATTACTCACTCTGTTTTTCAATGGAATGCCAGTAGTTCCTTGAAGACATCTTTGATCATATATCCTTAGTTTAATTAAGAGAACCTTCGTAACTACTAGGGTTGTTTTCCAGTATTAGTAAATTGAGGATTTGTTTGATTTACTTTTTTTTTCTCAAAGAACAGTAGTGGTTGTTATCATTCATTATTCACTGTAGATTTTGTTTTCCTTCTGCACACTAGTTGTTTCTTTCTCTTCCTACGTACAGATTTTGATGGCTTCTAATCTATCAATGTTTTTCAAATGAGAGATCTGTATGTAATGACAATAAATTATCAATATCAGTCTCAACAATTCATCCTATATCAGTGGTCTTCCCAAAAGCTTTATGGTAATTTAGAGATTTATTCAGTCAGCTTGTTAAGTCAACTCATCGGGCTTTCTCTTCAAGTTTAATCTTATCTGCAAAGCTTTTTTACTGACAGTGTCTCGTTAATTGAAGACATCCAGTTTTAAGAACTATTATAATATTTGTCTCAATGCTTTCATTTTTTTCGAATTTATTTATCGTACATTTCTTTTCATAAGTAGTATTTGTGTTTTTACCAAGACCTTTAGATATTTTTTAATTTACTTGGAAGAATGTTAAATTTTGAAGATAGATGAACTGTGTGATCTCAGTAGTTTGACACATAACCTCTCAGTGTATAGATAATTTGGGAGGTTAATTTAATTTACTTTGCATCTAGTTTCGTCTAAATTGATTAAAAATCTATTTTAATTTGTTTCATGTTCCACCCTCCTATGGTATTATGTACTGTCACCTAAATGATGGCTTAAGTCAATTTTCTTTTCAAACCACAATATTCTTTACTTGCTGACACAGAAAGTCTGTATTTAAAGATCAAACAAAAGGATATTCTCAGAATGGGTTTTGTGGAGAGTTTTAGAAATTTCACAGGTTGAAATCATGAGTCGATTGAAGCTAGACCACCATAGAAAACCTGGAAGCATTGGACGGCCGTTTCGTCCTAGTATGGAACTCCTCAGCAGTGCGCATCCACGACCCCGAACCCCACGGGATTCGAACCCAGGACCTACTGGCTTCGCGCGCGAGCACTTAACCACTATACCACTGAGCCGGCATCCAACGGTGTTAATGTCTAAGTTCAACCAATCCACGAAGTTGCGCCACCGTACACCATTGTCTTCAGTGAGTTGTTATCTCACAACACACCCCGCGTGGTGCCGGGTCGTAGATGCGCACTGCTGAGGAGTCCCATACTTGGACGAAACGGCTGTCCAGTGCTTCCAGGTTTTCCATGGTGGTCTAGCTTCAATGGACTCATGATTTCAACCTGTGAAAAGGATATTCATTCGATGTAGAATTTTCGCGAGATGTTAGATTTTAGTTTCTTTACTATTTCAGTTCTATTACTTATAGACCGGTTCATTTTATTGCTACGATCACTCCAATTAATAATCACAACATGGATATTTCAGTTTTGTGTCGATTTTCGAAATATTAGTTTTCGCTTTCTACTTTTTACTGTGAAGTTCATTATTTTTCACTGATAACTGTGGTCAGTCAAAGTTATTTTACAGCATTACATCATATGATCGTTCATTAATTTTTGCTTTCTAGCAAGTTGAGGAGTTAGACAAACAACTTAAAGTCTGGCGTAAACGCTGTGAAGAACAGGAGTATAGTTTATCCGAAATGGCTGCGGTTGTGAATTCGAGTAAGCTTGAAGCTGAAAGTTTGCGTGAGTCACATAGTGCATTCAGTGATGCTCAATGGGCAAATGATTCTGAAAATCCAAACTGTTTTCTTTGTCAGAGTCCGTTCAATGTTAGTCGTCGTCGGGTATGTTGTTTCTGTATGTATAATAATTAGAATTCCCATTTATTCATAAGAAACAATTATTTCGAATATCTCTTCTTGTTGTGGGACCAATGATAGGATAGTTACATACTGATTTACGGTACAAATCATAACGATGATGAGTTATCATTCTTGGATTGCTTAGTAAAAAGAAATCCAAATGGAATTCTGAACCTATCCATTTACCGAAAACCTACGCACTCAAATCGTTATATTGACTTCCATTCAGCACATCCTTTTAATGCTAAGATCTCGCTAGCATTAAATCTTTTTAGGAGAGCTAACAAGATCATCACATCATAGGAAGACAAACAAAAGAATGTAATTAGCATCTTACAATTTAATCATTCTCCTATGAAGATTATCAGCATTATATTAAAACAAGACAGTTTAGTACGTTATAATAATGATTCGAATGAAATGCTATGGATTTGTACTGCAGTTCTACCATACCGTCATGGCACAACAGAAGAACTTCAAAGAATCCTGAAACAACACAGAATTAAAGTATATTACAAAACAACGAACACACTACGAAATACTTTAGTTCGCGTAAAAGAAAAAATCCCGTTCTTGTCCACATAGAACTGCATCTACAAATTAGGTTGTATTGATTATGATGCCTTCTATATTGGAGAGTCATCCCGCGAAATCTTCACTAGAGCCAAAGAACATATTAGGTACAAAAAGAAACCTAACAATCCTGTAGAATTGGATCAACTTCAAATTAAATCGGCAATAACAGTTCATGCCATTTTCAACGACCACCGAATTGATTTTAAAAACATCAAAATATTGCAAAAAGGCTTTTCCAACTACAAAGAAAGGAGGGTAGCTGAAGCGTTCCATATAATGCTTAATCCTACTTCTCTCAATAGGAAGGAAGGCCTCACCATACATCCTACTTGGACCATCTATCCTAGCCATTCAGTCTGATCATATTTACAATTCACACTACCATATAACAAATTAAACTCTATCCTTTCTCATCATAAAGGTCACACAATTTTTCATTCTTAAACCATGCACACATACATACACACAAATTTACATACATATCACTTATGAATCACCTTGACAGAAATGACATGATATTAACTTGTTCAGACCTGTTTTTGATTGATCAAATATTATTCTTATTGTTCCGTTGTACTATTTAAACTTGGATTAATTTTACTTTGGTTACTTATTCTCTGAAGAAGTGACCTACACTAAGTCACGAAACGTCAGATAATGTAGTTTTCTACTCATTGGGATTTTACAAATATATTATTTATATATGATTTTTAAGGTAGATTAAACCAGGTTTGAGTTTATTATTTTTGTGTCTAATTTAAACACTAAACCTGTTGAGTTTACACTTTGTAATAATTCCTTGTTGATGTTGACAATGCTGCTTTCGATGTATTGTCTAGTTGGCGTAGACATGACATTAAATAAAACACTAGTGACCTATGACTCCTAACAACAGATCATGTATCATAAATTTTATTGACTGGATTTAATTATTTGATCACTAGAATCAGTTAGATACACTTCTAAATTCCAGTATCGGGTTGTGAAGGTTGTTGAATTTTGATTGAGATCATGAATGAACCAATGTTAGACCACCTCTGAAAACCTGGAAACACTCGACGGCCGTTTCGTCCGAGTATGGGACTCCTCAGCGGTGCGCATCTACAATCCCACGTGCGCGACCATAAATACGTAGTTCTGAGGAGTCCCATACTTCTAAATATCTTCACTGATTCCATCGTAAATGGTTTGGACGACTTAGAAAATCTGACCTTTTTATCATATAACTAAAGAATATAAATGTTTTTCCGATTCTCGCCTTATATTTTCCAGTTTCTGACTGTTATATCCTAGTGAAGATTAAATTACAGGTAACTTCCAAGGTCTATTCATGGACTAATATTCTATAAATATTCTTATTGTATAACTACTCAACAATTACACTATGTATATTTGTATTCCTTTTATGATAAGCTTTATTTTGACCTATACTTTATTATTGTACGATTTACGCTTCTTAAGTTATGTTCAGTTTATTAACTAATGCCTCCCACATTCACAGCCACTTTTTGGGCTTATTTGTGTACAAATATTATTTCCTATTTTATGGTACGTTGCGGTCTGTGTGATTGATATATAAACCAAGTATGCCTGAAATAAACGATCTGCTCTGATTCGGACGCTGGTATTGTGTTCTGTACTCAAGTGGAAGGGCTCGTAGGACATAGGACCAATAAGGACGCTAAACTGCCCACACCGGTTGAACGTCATTGGTTGGCCTAGTGTGAAGATTCGTATAAGTCGTATTCGATTGGTAGATAAATCGTGTGATAGAAAAACCAGACACCCAAGGTCATAACAATTGGCGACGGGGATTTTGGCAACAAAATAACAATAATACAACAAGTGCTGACTCAGATTTTGGAAATAAATTAGCTGTTATAATTGCCGGTGATTTTTTTGGAGTTAATATTATTGGCAGAAAAAAAATGTCGGTTTCTTTAGAACAGTTGCAGTTAATATTACAGCTACAGCACCAGCAGATGTTAGCCTTCCAACAACAACAGAACCAGCAGATGTTAGCCTTGCAACAACAACTATTTGAAACAGTTTTGGGCAGACTTTTCATTCAACCAGAAAATAAGGAATCTATTTATGTTGCAGATAATGGTGCAGCAATGGACAATTCAGAAGCATATCCTGTGGAGGATTCACATCCCTTTATACCTGAATCAGAACGTAATATTTGTAACGTATCCGGCTCACAGCAAGAAAATACTGTTCTAAATGCTCATGAAGTTGTGACAATACCAGATGATCAAGAACCAGATCCTGTAGATGAAGCCCAGAGTCCAAAATTGAATGAAACGCTACTGGTTCTGTCTAGCTCTGAAAATAAACTCCAGCTCGAACAAAATTGTGGTCCACGTGATTTTAGTCGAGAAAGCTATGGGGACTCATATTCAGAAAATAACTGGAGCAACACGATGAACTCAATTGTAACAAATGTTACTCAAAATAATTGGGAGACAGAAATTTATATTGAACTGGATTATCTAAATTCTCATGACAATGTACTAGATATGGGTTCTTATAATAATTCACAGAATTTTGATGAGATTTCTTATAAAAATGAAGAAAATATGTCGGCTGTTTCAAATGATGGTCAAAAATCTAATTTAATTTTGTTAGACGTTGACTTTCTTAATGACTCATTATCTACTAATGAGATTCATAATGAATTTGAAAATAATGGCCTCAAATCAAAAGTCGTTCATTATCGTCTAGTCATTTTTAGTGGATTCTCCATTCAATACGAGAAACATGGTTTAAACAAAGTCCTATTAATTGTAATTCGGAGACATAAGGATCCGACATTATTTCGCGGAGGAGGAGAATGTTGGAGAATTTAAAGTTACACATACTTTTTTTTCAAAAAAAAGGGGAGGTGTTATATCCTAGTGAAGATTAAATTACAGGTAACTTCCAAGGTCTATTCATGGACTAATATTCTATAAATATTCTTATTGTATAACTACTCAACAATTACACTATGTATATTTGTATTCCTTTTATGATAAGCTTTATTTTGACCTATACTTTATTATTGTACGATTTACGCTTCTTAAGTTATGTTCAGTTTATTAACTAATGCCTCCCACATTCACAGCCACTTTTTGGGCTTATTTGTGTACAAATATTATTTCCTATTTTATGGTACGTTGCGGTCTGTATGATTGATATATAAACCAAGTATGCCTGAAATAAACGATCTGCTCTGATTCTGGTTGATCTGCTCTGATTCGGACGCTGGTATTGTGTTCTGTACTCAAGTGGAAGGGCTCGTAGGACATAGGACCAATAAGGACGCTAAACTGCCCACACCGGTTGAACGTCATTGGTTGGCCTAGTGTGAAGATTCGTATAAGTCGTATTCGGTTGGTAGATAAATCGTGTGATAGAAAAACCAGACACCCAAGGTCATAACACTGACTACCTTTTATTTTCAAAAAATACAGTTTAATTATCCACTGTACATATTGTTCAACACGAACATAATGTAATGTACAATCAGATCTAACTCGGATAGTATCTGTTACCAACTATCATGAAATAACTTTATCGTTTTTCTATTATATGAATAACAAGGTGTCAATCTACCATTTGTATTTTCTCAATGTCTTCCAAACATTATAACCCACCTATGGGATAATAAATCTCAAATGGACTCGAATAAAGTTCAACATGATGACAAGTTTATTGTTCCAACGTAGATTTACAAATAAATAACATTAAAATGTTCACTACTAAATCGCTAAAGATAAATGATTCATATACCTTGTTTTCTAGTCAACGTTTATAAATAACCGAAAAATCATGACTAATAAAATGAAATGGTATATCTATCAAAACACACCATTTATACTCCTAGTGTATAACACACTGAGAATTCGTGTTGTTAGCAAAAAGCGATCTATTCAGTTAACTGGCTACCACGTGAGAAAGTTACAATTTGTTCTCCCCACTGGTTTACTTTTGATTATCTGATTTCTGTCATAATTTTTCGCATCGTGCTCTTAATATGGCTTAGTAATATCAAACGATTCTTGCTCTCCTCTCTCTTATCCCTTCCAAAATTGCATTTCAGGATTTAATTAGTTCCATTTTCTATTTTCCTAGCACCACTGTCGAAATTGCGGCCTGATATTTTGTCACGAATGTTCATCTAGAAAAATGACTTTACCAAGTTCTGCCAAACCTGTACGAGTCTGTGATACATGCCATGGATTACTTTTACATCGTTATAATGCTAAATAAACCATAATAAATGGTTTTCTTTTGCAACAGTCGTAACAATACACTTTTCGGGTGAATTGAAAAACATACTTTTCAGGTCTGAGCATAATAAGCTAATGTGATACATTAAACTAATGACATTTATGTTCATTATGTTCTGTCTCATTTTCGTTTCTGGTTCCATCATCAATATTTCTTTTAACACATTTCTTGATTTTTAAATGTAATTTCACTAATGTATCTATTGTCGTATAGCTCACTTCTATGATTTTTTTTATTCTTTCAAATAGATGAAATCGTAAAGTTATTTTTTATTGCTCCTATGCTTCAGTAGTTTATTAACCCGCCTTCGTCATTTCACCATTCATTCTATTTTGACGTGAAATAATTCTCGACTATAATTTTTCCTCTAGCACCATATTTGGAACAAATTAATGGTGGTCAGGTCCGTTTTCTTTTGTAGTATGATAATTACGTTTCAATTCCAAAACGCTCCCTCAAACACTTCTACAGCTGAAGTGTTTCTCACCAGATCATTCACATTTCAATTGTCTTTGTATAGGTTGATGGTAGCAGGACCGGACAACATTCCAGCGAAGGCACTAAAAGCAGACGTAGCGGCAACTGCAAGGATACTCCACATTCTCTTCAATAAGATTTGGGATGAGGAACAAGTACCAAAAGACTGGAAAGAAGGACTTCTGGTCAAAATACCGAAGAAAGGCGATCTCAGCAAGTGTGATAACTACAGGGGCATCACTCTTCTCTCAATACCGGGAAAAGTCTTCAACAGGGTAATGTTAAACTGGATGAAGGACTGTGTAGACGCCCAACTTCGTGACTAACAGGCAGGATTCCGTAAGGATAGATCGTGTACAGACCAAATCGCAACTCTACGGATCATTGTGGAACAATCAATTGAATGGAATTCATCACTCTACATCAACTTCATTGACTACGAAAAGGCATTTGATAGCGTGGACAGAACAACACTATGGAAACTTCTTCGACACTACGGCGTGCCTCAGAAGATGGTCAATATCGTACGGAATTCCTATGATGGATTAAACTGCAAAATTGTGCATGGAGGACAGTTGACAAACTCGTTCGAAGTGAAGACCGGTGTTAGGCAAGGTTGCTTACTCTCACCCTTTCTCTTTCTCCTGGTTATCGACTGGATCATGAAGACGTCAACATGTGAAGGGAAGCACGGGATACAATGGACAGATAGGATGCAGTTGGACGATCTGGACTTCGCAGATGATCTGGCCCTTCTATCCCAAACGCAACAACAAATGCAGGAGAAGACGAACAGTGTAGCAGCAGCCTCAGCAGCAGTAGGTCTCAATATACACAAAGGGAAAAGCAGGATTCTCCGATACAACACAGAATGCACCAATCCAATCACAATTGACGGGGAAGATTTGGAAGATGTAAAAACCTTTACGTATTTGGGCAGCACCATTGATGAACAGGGTGGATCTGATGCAGATGTGAAGGCGCGAATCGGCAAAGCAAGAGCAGCATATTTACAACTGAGGAACATCTGGAATTCAAAGCAACTGTCAACCAACACCAAGGTCAGGATTTTCAATACAAATGTCAAGACAGTTCTACTGTATGTGGCAGAAACCTGGAGAACTACGAAAGCCATCATCCAGAAAGTACAGGTGTCTATTAACAGTTGTCTACGCAAAATACTTCAGATCCGTTGGCCGGACACTATTAGCAACAACGTACTGTGGGAGAGAACAAACCAGATCCCAGCGGAGGAAGAAATCCGGAAGAAGCGCTGGAAGTGGATAGGACACACATTGAGGAAAACACCGAACTGCGTCACAACACAAGCCCTCACATGGAATCCTGAAGGCCAAAGGAAAAGAGGAAGACCAAAGGACACATTACGCCGAGAAATGGAAATAGACATGAAAAAATGAACAAGAATTGGATGGAACTAGTAAAGAAGGCTCAGGACAGAGTGGGTTGGAAAATGCTGGTCAGCGCCCTATACTCCATTAGGAGTAACAGGCGTAAGTAAGTAAGGTTGATGGTGCACTCCTGGTGTATTCACATGTCTTAAGTATTAGTTATTCATATTTTTTATACAGTTATCTGCAATTTAGAATTTGGATCGCAAGAATTTGAACTGGATGAATTCAGTCGAGAATTTTTACCACTTGAGCCTTCACTTTTGAGGGTATAAGCCCTGTATATGGTTGGTGGTTATTCAGTAACATTGAAGCTATGTTCTCTAAATGGGTCTAACGTTTTCGGGACTTGAAGATTTTACCCGGGTCTCTATCAGTCCATGGATGAACTGTATAACAGTAATTAGGCAAGAAATCTCCGAATTCTGATTTTCTCACTTAGCTAAGCTATGTGAATAGGCTAATATTGTTGGACGACCGTTTGACTGTGAATCGCGTGAAAAGGCAAACTGATAGTAACCTGCAAATTTAGATAAGTTATCAAAATCTATATAAAATGAGTTAGTTGCTAGTGCCTATGTTATTGCCTCCGCACTGATATATGAAGCATGGCCCGAAAATATTACCTTCAATGACCGTTCACACTGCTCATATATAGTCACGCGTTTTGAGCCTCTTCCGGAATACTCTATTCACTGTTTTCATGTGACTGGAATGTATGTTTACAGAAGTGGAGTCTCACTAGCTGGTATTCAGCACCTATCTAGGATGACTGATACTCAACGCTGTAGTAGACCGAATAAGATCAGGCTAAGTAAATGGTTCCAACAGCTATCAATTATAAGTTAGTATAGGAACAAACTAGAAATAATTACAAAGCAGGGTTATTTGCAGCTTTGAGTAATATAAGTGTTGACATTGTTAAAAAATCTCCAAATTCAACATTCCACGTCCTGAATGTAAGTAGTTAGTAACGAGGCACTGAATTACTGGTCTGGCAAAAGATCGATTTTCTTTAAGCGGTCAATAACATATTTAAGAAAAATGAGTGGACTTCTAATTATAGTGCATTGTGAACAATAATTAAGTGCACAAGAACAGGGAAAGGGTCGATATAATTTGAACGAAAGTACTTTTAAAGGAAATATGAAAGGCATACAAATCCGATGGAAGACAAATCAGGTTACTTAAAGAATCACTGGTACAAAATACATGGAGAAATATAGGGTCCAGAAAATTGGGTTGTATGCACAGCGTTGTTTATTTAATGTGAATACATATCGTAGTTATGCGTAGTAATATGCAAAACAACCATAGTATAGAAACAAAAATAGTGTCCACTAATGTCACAGATTATGTAATACCACTTAGTAAGGATGGATATTCATAGTAATTTTAAATGTATGTGCATTTTCTTAAAATGTGCTTTAGGTTCTTTAAAGGAACAAAAATACATCACCTGGTGTTTAAAATAATGCTTCAAGTGTAAAATGCTGCGAAACGAAATAATTTGCGGAGTTCAGTCGATAAAATTTATAAAGTGTCCTACATTATACAATTTGTATTTGAAGACGTGTTGATAGTACCGTGGGTAGAGTTGTTTTAATCACACATGTTGGGTATGTTAGGTCCCCAGAACTCACTTGATTTTATAATCTTATTCTGGATGTTTAAGTCTGCTTGTTTTCGCGCCGGAAGCGCACTTTTCACCTTCATGTCGTATTTCCCACTTGGGAGAATATTTAATGCTATTGGCCCGTCGTGTATTTTTAGCATGCTATTTTTGCTACGCCTCATAAGGACAGTTTTATGCTGCATATATACGTTTGATTTGTGTCTGTTATTAATCATTCGTGCTTCTGGCTTACGGAGTATGCTTTCTCGTTCCAAACTTGAACTTCATCCTCTAGTTAACGGGGCTGGGACGCATCAAATAGCTAGCTTATTGGTCTACGGTCAAAAGTCTTTGTTCCGTTCGCATACTAAGTGAACTCGTAATAGCTTCAAACTTAGCAACACATCTTGTATGTTTAGACAAATTCCGCTCGTTCAAATTTTTTATTTATGTCATGGCTAATTAAGTGGACGTTAAGGCGATAGAACTAGGAATAAGTTCATCTATGGACTGTTATTTCGTTAAAAATTTTGTGGGTTTCTGTTGTCGTTTGACATTATTGTCAAAGAATTGAGCTTTTCGACTGGCAAGTTATTTCTGTTCTAATGGCACAGCAGAATTTGGTGTGGTGTCTTGCTTCATATATTGATCAATTATCTCGTTCATAATTGCAGGTGCATCAGAAGAAAGGACATAGTTTTGTGCATTCAAAGACAATATTCTCTTGCTCATTGTCGATAAACATTCACTTTTGGAGATTTATGGTAAGTGCTAAGGGAATGGTCCATCCTAAGGCAATATCAACTGGTTCTGGATATCATCAACCAAAATTACAACAAATTTGCTGGGTGCCACGTGTTTAATAAGTTGTTCAGGGTGAATAGTCAGATGAGCAGGCTTTGGCTGTTGCATATCTTGTGGTGTGGTACTGACAAACGATATCAAATAATTCAAATTCTAATTAACTGACAGTTCGAGTAAGGTCAGTGTTGAGCATAAACCTAGTGAGCTTCAGTAAATTGTTGTCTCGTTTTGAGATGTTATAAATAATGGTGGAATCCTGAAACGAAACGGTTTTGTGTAAATATTGAACTATTTTTACGATTAGTCATTACGCGACCATGATGCTAATATACTCGCTTCAGGCCCATTCATTGAAGACAATGCCGAAGTGACACGAATGAGAAGTACATACCTGCTGTAGACTAACAATTAGGATTTGTAATTGACTTTTTGCTTCATTTTGGAATTGATTAATGATCCATTTTCTATAGTTCTCTGTCTTGTTGAACGATTAAGGTCGATAATAATTTAAAGTGATTATTGTGTCTCAACAGTTTATAAAGTACCAATCAGATTCTGATTCTGCAAAGTGGTCATGCAGTACCATTTCTGAAGGGTCAACTAGCTGAACTTTAGTCACTATGTTATGATCAGTTTCAAAACAGAATGGCATTGGTTGTTCATGGTCCATCTTATTCTACATTGTCACTATCTTCGAGGGAACGTATGCATATAGTAAACTAGTGTTTCAACTCCAGTATCAAAAACTTTGTGACATGTACTTACCAGATTTAATGTTACATGAATGAGCATAGTAGTTCATTATCCGTGAGAATGGTAGACCAGAATCAATGGCTTTGCAAGTCTTCAACATTTGACATTGACCTCATTAGTTTTAAAGAACTCACTTATATGAAGGTGCTGGGTCACGTATCTGCACCAGATCACTAATAGGTACTTTGTGCTTCATATTTAAAACCGTTACCCAGCTGAGATCAGTCATATCTCGATATATCGATATCCTATCGAATATACCTTCGAACCTTGATGCTTCTGATTTACTGGGTTGACATATTTTTGTTATAAGTGTTACTGGTTAAGCCGTTGTCAAACTCCGAATATTTGTGACATTTTAAGATCTTACAGCAAGTGAGTAAAATGAATAAATGTCAAATATATGATCAGTTGTGTGCAAACAAATGTACTATATCCCATCCCTATATGAACTAATCAACTTGAGAATAAAGTGGTTAGTTATTTAACAGTAGTTTTAGACGTCCTTTGACTTCGGTACACAATACATAGATCGAGGTTCATATATTGATAACGATTCAAACGCGAATAAGTAGTGCCATTTAATAGTGTCCAAGTCAGCTCGCGCTTTCTGGAAAAATCTAAACGTTTTGTATTCGTTTTAGATCAGAACGTGATGTACAATAAGTTGCAGAGTCCTTTCCGTGCGATTTTTAATGTATGCGCGTGGTTAGTTGTATAAATTCCCGATTACATCACTTCACTGTAAAAACGAGACTTTGTCTTAGCTTTAATGAGAAGCTGTGACTTTTATTACACTCGTCTGGATATTCTGTTATAACTGATCTAATTTTGAGGGTAGTTTAAAATGTCATGACCTTGTGGTGATAAATAAATCTTCAGAATAAATAACTTTATAAGTCTTCGGCATTGGATGCTGACCATATTAGTTTTAATCGACTCACCTAACTGAATGCGCTCGGTCATGCATCCGCACCAGATCACGAGTGGGAACGCCGTGCTCAACATCCCCTGCAATCGCTAGCCAGATTACATCAGTTTCTTGATATATTTATAGTCTATCAAATATATTTTCGAACCTCTTCGCTTTTTTCTTTTTATTTCAGTTGGTGGGTACGATTCATATTAGGTGTTACTGGTCAGCGCGTTGTCAAAACTCCAGACACCGGTGGCATCTCCAGTCTAATTCGTTATTAGAACTGCTGTAATAGTAAACTTATCCTTATATTGTAGGTTTGTCATGATGCAAGTGACTAATGTATAAGATCTTACTTGGAAGTCACATCTTTGTCTGCATTGACTCATCGTGCTGTAACAATCACTAATTTATGATGGGACACATATGTAGGCTGGAGATAGAACAATATATTTAATATGAGCTATGCGATCCGATGAATTTGTAGTGGCATTGGACCATAACCACACAATCCTCAAAGCTGAACACGAGACAACTCGGAAAATAGATATTCAATATTTAACGCGGAGAAATACCGAACGATTGAGACGGCGGGAAGAATGTGTGAAATGAATTGGAGTTGATCGGATGGCATGGCTCGGCTATGCAGGCGTGGTTCATCTGAATGTTACTTTATATATTTTATTCATATTAAATATATTGTTCTTTCTCTAACCTAGGCTTGTTCTTCATCATGTATTGGTAGTTGTTACGATGATGTGACTTCCACGTAAGATCTTATAGATTAGGCAGTTATATCATGACAAATCTACAATTTTAGGATTAGGTCTATTATTAGCGTAGTACTAATATCATAGTAGACCATAATTCTACAAATTCAATCAATAATCCCGCTTTTCATAGTTAACCATTTCTTCGTGTCACTTTTTGAATATAATCCTTTTCATTATTTTATGCTCGGCTTGAAAGGTCGTGTGACTAGGGTTCAGTGCGACTACATATTCGATGGGCAGTGTCGAAGTTTATCTTCTATTGGTACCATAAATTAATTTGGTTATATTCTATTCCATCCATGCAGCAGCGACTTTTTGTTCACGAGGACGATATTATTTTATAAGAGTCGATGTGCATTCTGGTCGAGATGGTAAAAATGTAAAATTAAGGGGTTAAGAGGGTCCTTATTTATTGCATTTGAGCACCTTTAACGTCTAACACACGAAATGATGTTACTTGCGATTTTTATCCACTTTCTGGTTATTGTTGCCAAATAAATACATTTGGTTCGCAATAGAATCTCTTCTGCCATAAATTATTTTCATTGAACTAGTGTTCTTATTTTGCTGATGATCATCGTCTACATCAATCCTAAGTAGGGATTTGTGTAGGCACATGCCTTCTCTTCCAACCAACTTACGTAAAGACTCAGTATTATTCCATGGGCTTCGGCAAATTCTTAGTTCTTTCTTTCCTACTTAAATTTTATTAGTCATATCTACAGTGGAGATTAACTGCGAATTTTGTGATTTATACATATGACGATGTTCACTTTCGTTCCGTCTCGGAATCACAAGAATATTTTAAGTTACCCTATGATTTCGTCACAACATTCATCTATCTTTTGCAAGATCATTCAAGGTATCCTTAAAGATATATAGATGTTGTTGCAACTATTATGTTTAATTGGATGTATGACGCTTCTTAGCAATATTTATCTGTGAATAAGTCTTGTTGAATGGTTGAAAAGTTAATAAGTAGATTTTCAAAACGCAAATATTGTCATAGAACTTTTCTTATACACTGAATTCACCGGTATTTAAGTGAATTGATGTAACTACTTACCTCACGAAATCGCAAGTCCATATCACAGAAATTATGGTTTCTTCATATTGATATACACTATTATGACGTCCAGAAGATCCTACATCCCGAGATTCTTTGAGGAATGAATGGCATCTTCCTAGAAGAAAATCGGAGCAAAGAAGTATCACACTATTGGTAAAACCACTCGAGCCATGATGTGTTGTCCATTCCACCAATCTCATATTGCATTGCATTGATTTGTAGCGGTAAATCCGTAATATAAATCGTTCTGTTATTATTTATTTCTTTGAACACATTAATATTGGTACAAGAGGGCACCAAATATATATGCGCCACACCATATTTGTGTGTGTGGGCTGTGATACTGCCCGAGTGCCCAGACCAAAGCAGGTGATTTCCTTAGGGGGCCACATCCCGAGTCTTTGACCTAAGGGTCTGAGCCACAAGGCAGTGGAGCATCGTGGGGAGATGCATTCCCATGGTAGCCGGTGACTCTGAGATTGGTTTATACGCCATTTGTTCCTGCAGGATACTGGAGCCAATGTACACCATTGGTTTGGGATCCGGTTAAAGCGCCGGACATTCGCCTTTCGTCCTCTCGTTTTCGTAAACAACACCCCCGCCACGGGAAGGCAGTGAGTAGGACTTCCCTGGCAGAGGCTGTATACGCGTGGCCGTGAGAGAGCATTTCGAGAGGGAGGGCGGGCCCACCCCACTCTCGGCCATACCATTGCGTTTGGGTCTTCGACACACACGGTGATCTCATAGGTTTCACTGGCTAAACCTTAGCTGAAGACGCTCAGTGACGAATTCATACCGGATCGCGAGTGGCTTCGCCGTACTACCCAACTCTTGTAAATATTGGTCAGCTTAGAATAAACGCCTCTCTATATATCCATAGCTTTCTGAGTTGGTATACTTCGATCACAAAGGTGTTACGTGTAAAAGCGTTTTCACACTCCGAATGCGTGTAGCATCTTGGATTTCCCTTCGTTTAAGATAAAGAATCATTTGGAAATGGTTAGGCTTCATTTCAAATTTCTTCGTTTCATGTGTGAGATTTAAAGGATCAATCGGGTTACTCGTTCTTGGTTTAGGCTCATTAAAAATTAGAAATGAGCTTTCAGTGGACTAGAATCTCTCGGTTGCGTACGCTGATCAAACAATCAATAATAATTCTAACTGTGGCAATCTTATTGTATTTTTATTAGAATTAAACTCTCAGAAATGTTTAACAGATATATTTGAGGAATATTGTTTTGCCTTCAGAAGTTTGACTTACTATATTGGTTACCTACTTCATTACAAAAAATCTTTTTATCCAGCAGAAGGCTACGGTATGAGATTATCGATCTGTCAACATAGTATTAGACATTGGATATTTTATTTCACCTGGAAAAGACAGAGATTTAAACGCACTTGTTGTTACTGCGCTAAGCGGGTATGGTGTCATTGCCTTGTAAAAGTAACAATAAATTACATGCAAGTGAAATAGTGTGTGAAGGATCGAGATCAGTAAATGTTATATATTGGGTTTAATTTCTCTTCAAAGAACATAGAGGGCTACAAATTCTCATATGTACGGTATATATGTGTGATTATTGGTTGTGTTCTAACGGCTGGACTTCTACGGTTACTGTTTCACTGGTTTCCTCAGTGGATGCTTTGGTGTACACACAAAACTTGTGGTCTTAAAGAGGCGGATAAGGTCATGATAAAGGTTTGAGTACAATTATTTTCAAATAGATAGTGAGATCTAAAGGATATTTCTGGTATCTATATCCATAAAGTTCATTATCCTACAAAGGAGAAGTCAAGGTTAAGTTTATTTTGATTCATATTGTTGTTGCAAATTGTGAGCTCTGAGATAAGTAAAAACAACCTTTTTTTTCAATCAAGGCCACAGTGTGATAGTTCAACAACGGACGCTTTTCTTGAGGACCAGAACAAACACCAGTATATCATTCACAAAAAGTTAAAGTATATTTGGAACTGCGAGTCCGAAAAATTTGAGCTATTAGAGTGAGTGGAGTGTATTTATAAACACTTTAATATACAAAATTCATATTTGTAAAAGAAACTAAATACCATTTCGCAACTGTTTTTACGAATCAATGTTTTCATTAGAAACAACAAAGGTATCACTAATATTTTCTGGGATCAAAACGAATGCTCAGTAACGCATGCGTGTGTTCAAGGGGATTGTGTATTTTACATTTAGGTTCATTTTTTGATAAAGCGAGTATTTGTGAGCATCCGCGTCATTATTGTATATTGTATTATGTATGTCTCCTTGGAGAAGCTGTCTGTGTGTTCATATCTTAACACTTGAGGCTTTCAGCAAAGCATACTGCATGTTCACATTTTTACCTCAAGTCCAGTAGTTTGTAATCATAGCACATTTACACTGTTCGCTAAAAAATGACTGTGTATGATAGTTTCTAACTTTTGTATATGACCCTCGTGTTGCATAGTATATTTATGTGCCGATAGTACAGTAATCGTCACTTTTTTCAAAAGTTTCATGGTTTTGTAGTTTTATTCGATAAAGCATGCATTTTACAGGGTACATATCACCACTTAACGATTACTTTTATTTGTAGACAACCTTAGTTCATTAGAATCTCGGGATTTAGCGCTGGTGAAACAATCGGAACCTATAGGTTTACACTTTTCAGAGACACAAATGTATCAGAATTTGTTGTGTTATCAGAAGATACCTTGTTTTGGTTTACTCAGGTAGTTGGATTTCCCCAAAATGATGCTAAACTTTTTTGTTTATTTTTCTTTAGATACTGGGATAAGCGTCCTTACCATGAAGTATTAAATACACAGGCCTTAACTGCGGATCGAATTAAAACCCGTCGAAGCTTGTATGGAATTAATAAGATAGATATTAGCCTTACACCCATAATCAGGCTTGTTTTAAATGGTGTAAGTTGTTGAAAGTAGTATAAATTTGTTATGTTTTTTTGGTTATGATTTATGAGAGGTAAAGGGCAAGTTTTAAGTTGCTCTGGATCTGGTTTCACCGTTCAAAACTGATTTGAAAATATTGCCCCTACAAATCAACATCCTCTGTTTATTTCAGATCTACAAAATACATTTGTAGCTATCAAAGTATAATGTAAGCCGCAGTGATGTTTATTCTAACTACTCTGAACATGTAAATACACAGATATTCAGTTTACAGACAAAAGAATCAAGATAAAATCGGACAAAGTTTTTATTTATGAGGCTGTTTCATGCAGCTGATTATCATAATGGGTTTGTAATGCAAATCACCCCTAAATATGTACTAGTAACTGATCATTTGCAAACAGGCAGGATTTGTACACTCGGTAAACTTTGCTAACAGATCAGGAAGACTTGTGCGTGAAATATACTGATAACATTGTATCATTTGTATTCACTGATTTACGTACGAAACGTTTGTGTATACGACAAATATAGTATGCCAGACGAAAACTGACTAATGTGTCGAGTTTTATGATGGTTTAAACTGTGATAAACAGTAGTATTAATTTTCAGCAATTTATCTCAGTAAACTCGTCATGATTGTTTTTTGTTTCAGTGTCTTACTCCTTTTCATTGCTTTCAAGTATTCAGCTGCGTCATATGGTATTGCGTCGAGTATGAAATATATGCGACATGTATTGTTGTGTTTTCGGTTATATCGCTTATTTTTCAGGTTCACGAGCTCCGTAAGGTAAGAAAGCTTGCACATGTTGTACTTGTTTTTTCGGTAAAAACTTTTAAACTGGTCAGATAGAAATTAAGATAAATTTTCATAATTGTAAATGAAATTGTTTTTAAGCCTCTAGTATGCATGCTATGTCTTCTCACAAAACCACATATGAAGAAATAACGCGCAGGGTTTACTAGTTAGTTAAAACGACTGAATCTAACTAAATAAGGGTAAAGATTCTCAATCTCTTTTGGATCTGAACTTATGTACGTGGATTAGTCATATCACCCGGATACTACCGTCGAATTAGCTTCTGTGGATTCTGATCCTATGTTTCATCAGTGGACATTCGACTTCTTGGAACACTAGGTCATAACTTATTGTCTAGTTACCTGGATTGACATTTATGGGAATATACCAAGTCAAATTGTAAAGAGTAACTGTATCAATGTAGATATAAATGGATAAATAGGAACAATATAACAGCATTAACAAGCTCTGTAAAACGCCGCAAACTAATAGTTAACTGTTTCTCGTCCTTGAGGAGCGACGACTAAATTAGTGTAAAATAGTGTTTCGAAAGTTAAACGACCCTTAATTTATTTGAAATTTCACAGCTAGACGCTTACTTTATAGTGCTCGTAACCAGCTACTTGTACTTCAACGCAAATTACGGTGGTTTGACAAAAGATCGGGTGAATCAAGCAAAAAACTGTACCAAATGTTAGTATCTGAACTGAGCGGCGTCTATAGTTACAGATCTGTCGGTATAAGGGTTAGAGTAATTTTGTGACCATCTGAAAAACGTTTACAGTAGCTCATATGCATTCATTTTTTGCCGCACTTAATTTTTGGCCTTTGTTCCTTTTCACACTTCTCGTCTTTTATGAAATTTGTTCCTCCTGAAGTGAATTTTTATGTTTTATTTACTACTGGATTTAACGTTATTTTACATCCTTTGTTTCGCCCTTTGGTAATCATCATTCCTCATTTGTGGGCGCAGAGTCTGGCTTGCAGACCAATATACCTCTGTAACAGGTCTCATGTCCTCTAGGACTAATTGCTGGAACTTTACTTAGTTCACTTACGTTGTTCTAATTTCGACTGTTTTTGTTCTAGCTACGTTATTGCACGAAAGCTCATATTTCCTGATAAGAAGTTCGTTTTTATGAACAACATACGTACAACATAGTTGAGAAATTCTAAAAAAGAGTTTCAGGGAACAAACACATCTGTCGAAGAACAATTTACGCAATGGATTTGGTTGTTGTTATAAACCTGAGAAACAATACACTAATATATATATATATATATATATATATATATATATATATAATTTTGATCTTGTTTCATGGTCATGTGTTCATCCTTAAGGTCACTAGATGATTGTCTGTTAGTTATTCTGGAAGAACATTAGTTAGTTCAAGACTAACTCGTCAGAGTTCACTAATCAAGCAACCATAAATCAATCATATTTACGTCGTCATTTTTCGGTTTTTGCTTGTCAATTTTTATTTTAATTAGATCAGTAAATTGGTTTGTTTAGCATTTTTAACCAGCATCTGAGTCCTGCTAAATACTTCTTTTAAGCGGGATAGGTAGCATATGTAGCCATATTCTATATAATTAAATTCGTAACTCGTTTCGCCATTGACTATTTGGTAAATTCCGCAAAATTTTGAGGCACTTAATGGATCAGAATCACTAACATTTTCAGCACATGTGTTTGCTGGTCGCCGAATTCTTCATATACTGTTCATTTTCATCCTAACAGACTACTTCAGTGTATTTAGAAGCTTGCTGTAATATGTAACTTATTGTTTAGAGACGTAGCTTATTCTATTAAACGTTTGAGTTACAAAAAGGTTGTAAATTCTTTCGTAAACGTGGATTTGTGTCTTTTATGTACCTGGAATGAATTTTTAAAAACTGGATTGTTTGGTATGTTGGGTCAATAATTAAGGTATGGTTTTCTTAGTGCTGAATACACACAAATTTTGTGCTACTTTTAGGTTATTTTTCACCTTGGTTAATACTAATATCTTACGGTTGTATATAATATTTGTGGCAAAATCACTTTTCCGGACCTTTTCAGACCAACTATCTGATCCACAACAAGTCAACTACCAATTTTTAAAAGACAGCTGAAAAAGATTCAAACAACAAAGAAAAATGAGTTATTTATGTACATAATGGTCAAGTTATAGCAGTCAACTACGTATATAGTTTAAAAATACTTGATTATGCATCACTTTAAATTAGTAGCCACACCTACTCCTTTTCTGTTCTCAGTCGTCAAAGCTAAGCTAGAATGACAATCAGAGCACTTGTGAGCTCCATCATCCGGGCTGGTGTCAATATACTGACTGATTTATGTGACTTTATATTAGACAACTGATTTCAAGATAATGAAATTGTTAATAAACCTTCTAACTTAGTCCGTGGTTAAATCCGAACTCCGCCTATGAATGTTGGTCCATGAGAGTTACAAAGAACGAACTCTAATGTTTAGTTCGATTTTTTGAAAGAGTTTAACAGAGTGATCCTGTTCTATAGTTACACCACACACAAAATTCAGGATTTGCCCGGAGAATCCTAGTAGATTGCTTAAAAAGGACATGGGCGTCTAGGTCAATAGTTTTAAATATATTTGTTAATGTGTGAATAAAGCTTTTCATAGTTCTTTCAGGTAGCCAAGTAACAGCTCGTTAACATAATAATTGTATATTGCGTGACATTCTTAACTTGACTTGGCTTATCTAGGAGGTCATGTATACACCAATTTAGTAGTCATTTTAGAAATAAAATTGTTACTACTTGTGTAGCAGTTAGATAGTAAGGCAAATCGTGAGTGATTTGATAAGACAGCAAAATAATTCCAGGTCAACTGTAGAATTGAAGGTTGATTGTATGACAAATTTACTTAGTTTTATTTGAGAGTCATCAGGCTGAGGGTAACTTTGTCCAAAACGTAAACTTTTAAGTTCGTGTATTCAAATACGAGAATGATATTTACTGCAACCTCTGTAAGATTGAAAATGATTTTCAGTAAGATTCGTCTTCGTTATGTTGTCAATTCATCGAACCCAAGTCAACGTTTACTATTTAACTAACTGGAATAAAGTTGTCTCTGTTCGTTTTTATATCAATCGATACGAAACTACCCGATAATGTCTAAGTGCAGAAAGAAGCAAGGTTCTGTCTTTATATTAACTAGCGTGAATTAATGGAAGCTACGGTCATTTACTTGGTGTCTTTTGTACATTGTAAAAGGATTAAGCATTTACTCCGATTATTTTAAGAGCACAGGAGTGTATTTATGTATGATTTATTATTATCGTTGGAAATATTCCGATGAATGCTCATTTTTGATAGGGACGTTTATCAATTTATATAAATTAACTATAAAATAACTTTCTACTTTTACGGTTAACATATTTTTATGTCGACAAAAGTTTTTGTGATTAAACTCATTGAATGAGTTTAATTAAGATATAATATCACTCCATTCTTTATCCAACGAATTAGAATGAACGCGCTCTAAAGAGAACTGTCTGCGTTTCATCTAAAGTTGGTGTGTGCAGACGTTATGACGGGAAGGATGGTAAGTACAAGAAAATTTCGAATGCTAATTTTTAACACTGAAATTTAAATGCATTTTTAATGTGCCTAAAATTGGCTTAGTTTTACCAAAACTTTTGAAGTACATAAGCGTTACCTTTGTCGCACTTTAAGTGACCATTTTAAAACACTGACAGATGTTTAAAAAATGGAATAAACAATTTGCGTGCCATATTTTTATTTGATTAGGAAGAGAGGTTGGTTTTATTTGACCGTTAAAATATCCACATACGGGACTTCATTTATGAAACGTAACATCACCGCCGTAAAAAGTGTGTTTATAATTATTTTTAAGAATTTGCTTTTGAAATAATTGTATGGGGCATTTCTTATGAAAATTTCAATAATTGTAGGGGCAGGAGAAATCAGATATGTTGACGCCTGACTTTATATATTGATTCTGTCAAGTAAATTTAGATAACTGCGCTGATATATTAAAATATTTCACTATCCTCATGATTGGAAACATCGTTCTACTGTAAGCTTCTGGCTGTGTTCAACAAAATATACATAATTAAAAGCTTACATGATTTAGAGAGTAGCAAATGATTTGTCTTACAAAATGTGCATCCAAATTTAACTCTGTATTTATATGTCTTCATCTGTGTTTGCGACCGGTTATTTAAGGTACACAATGAATTTATTTCACTGAAGGAATAGAAGTGAATGTTCATTTACTAGCTTCATAACATTAGCTTACTTGAAAAGCGCTAATTTTCTCAAGTAAATGCTACTTGCTATCTTCACTTTGATACTAGAAAACAACAAGTGTTGATTCAACAAGTTTAGGGAAAACGATTTTTGTATATTTTTGTTTTCTAACGAATAGATTTTATGCTTGTCGATTCAACCGAATTGGTACCAGGAGATTTAATTGCCGTTCCGAGTAGTGGATGTTTGATGCAATGTGATGCAGTATTATTGATGGGGAACTGTATCGTGAATGAAAGTAGCTTAACAGGTAGGTCTTAAAAAATAGTAATTTTCATATGTGTTTAAAATTGCTTTGATCTCAAGTTCATCATAGAAGTTTAAAATCGTTTTATTCATTAGGGTTCAAGTTTTTTTTTCATTCTTAAACTGAAAACGTAGCTTCATCCTTGTTGGTAAAATGCTAATATAGTGTTTACAAAAAATATGGAAGCAGACCGGCATTTCAAGGAGCCTGTTTTCACAGTTTATTTGGACAGATACAGTAGACAGTGCTTCTTCGTAGTCTCTACCTGAGCCACCACTGGCTGAATTTCGGATAGAGTAGAATATGATTTTTATTGAAAGCTATTAACCCTCTAAAAGTTAGACGCTCAGATGGACTATTGTTATATATATATGTATATTTCAGTTGTATAGCCGTTCAGTATCTAGATTATAAATATATGTATTCCCCTAATTATAAGCTACATTTTAACCTATAGATTATTATTATTATTATTATTATTATTATTATTATTATACGATTTACTTTTCTCAAGTTATGTTCAGTTTATTGATTTCAGTCTCTCACGTTCACAGCCACTTTGGGCTTGATCTTGTATAACTATTATTTCTTATTTTATGATGTGATGGGGTCTGTTCGGCTGGTATATAAGCCAAGCACGTTTGAAATAAATGATTCACATAGTAGAAGCTGTTATTGGTGTTCCTGTTTTAAGTGGACGGGCTAGGCGAACAAAGGACCAATAAGGATGCTAGGCTTCTCAAACCGGTGGAAAGTCACAGGTTTAGCGTAATACTAAGATTGGATAAGTTGTATTTCGATTGATGAATAAATCATGCGATAACCACCCGGGCTTAAAAACTGTTATGACTTGTGGCCTTGTGCCCTAATAATATGTGACGTAATGATACCACCGACTAGAGAACAATGACTTATCGACCGGACTAATGACACGTAAACTCGTACGAACATTCTGGATTCCTTATCGGTCCTTCTTCCCGTCTAGCCCTGTCTGCTGAGTCCAGAACACCAATCTCAGCTCCTGCAATATGAGTCATGTGTTTCAAACCTACTGAATTCATGTACAAGCCAAACAGACCACATCTCCCCACAAAATAGAAAACAAAATTTGTAAAAGATCTAGCCTAATGTGGCTGTGAATGTGGGGGACTGTAATTAATAGACTGTGCATAACTCAAGAGCGGTAAACCGTATAATAATAGTCTATGGGTCCAAATAAAGCTTATAATAGGAGTAACATGAATATGCATAGTTTAACTGCTTAAAAATTATACAACAAAAATATATGTATGGTATTGGTCCATAAATAGTTTTCAAAAGTTACAACTCATAATTCTCTTCGGGATACAACAAAAACACAATAGTAGTAGTCGCAGCTGGTAAATTTAATACCTGATTGTGTGATCTTAACCGTATCAAAAGAAATTTAAGTGAGTACTACAGTGTCTGAGCTCATCAAACAGATAATGAGGACCGGGTGCTTCTACTGTCTGGTTTTAGTGGGAACCAACTTTAAACAGAATAAAAGAAATCGCACATCTAAAAACCACTCGATAGTGAAAAAAAAGAGTGTATTGCAGTAACGACTGGAGAAGCAGTTAGTGGATCATTAAAGTAATGTTCAGCCCTGTGTATGCTGGCTCGATACCTGATCAGTTGTATAAGCCGTGTTGATATCTACCAGCGATATAAACCAAAAGTCGAAGAGATATCAGTGGGTTTCGGTGGCATTTATATAACTCATAGATGCTCGAAAGCTCATCGCGTTAGGACCTAAACACCATAAGTAGCGAAAGCGATTAAAATTTAGGTTGAAAAGAGGTTTATGTTCGATTGTGAGTGGTGTAGGGTAACGAATTTAAAGAACGAAAAAGACTGTGGCGACAGGTAACGGCAGGAAACTTTTCAGACTTATCAAAAAACTGGCATTCAGAAAGTCAGGTATCAGTGAGACTACATCCAACATAGATGGGACCATCGTCTTCTTTCAGTCCAGATTATTAGAATGATGTGCGAAACATATTAAAGAACAGTTTAATTTTTTTCTACTTACCACTACAAAACAACCAGGATGGGAGATTGAACTTAGCTACCCGACTGTTATTAAATTCAGAAAATCAGTAGCTAGTCTTAAGCGAGAATTTGCAGCGTAGCTCGATGGATTAGCCTCGAAGAATCTTAAGGATAGTGGTCAAGTTTTAGCAGTTAGATTGACAGACATATCGACCAGAATCTGGAGGCTGAATCTTTCAAGTCTAGAAGAGGGACAGAAATCCTCTTTGATAATCGCAGAGAACACAGTTCGACTGATATAATTTCTGAAATACTAGACTCAACAATCACCTAATAGTTAACTGAGGCTTTTATAGAGCAAACCAGGGAGAAGCACCGGGCTGGTTTCAGAAATCGACGTGAGTGCATATACAAAATGTTTACCCTTCGTCTGGCTCTGGAACACAGAAATACCTGACGAGATCTGATTGTAATGATATTTATTGACCCCAAGGCAGCGTCTGACCCTGTTGACATATACTTTATCGGAATGGCTGCCATTAAAAGTCATACGAAAGAGGTACACAGACCTTGTTAACGTTTTTTATTACAACACTACTGATAGAGTCACGGTTCATGGCGAACACACAACAACTGAATGCTACAACAACAACTACTACTTCTACTTAACTTTGTGGACAAATCTGATCATCATGTGATTACTATCGTATTATTAGGTTCTTATATATTTACATGACTCAGAAGTAACTTGGAAATGTAAGTAGCACAGTTGCTTACTTTTAGAAAAGAGTACATTTAAATTACTTTTACCATTACCACATGATAATATATTTAAGGTAGCTGTTTTGTTCGGTGTCGGTAGTGCAACCAATCAAAATTCATGTATTTCCATCTAAGTTATACTGTTGTACTCTAAGTTATTTTAAACTATCAACGCGTTTCTAAGCTCTAATGAACGTTAGCAATATAGGCACAACTTGTACGGTATGGGAACATCAAGCCGTATTGTTCGTTAATCAGGGTAGGGTTATTACAGTGATTTTTTTATATACATACCATCGATCATAATAAAATTTGTACGGCTTTAATTTGGGAAATAACGTTTTATGTAAAGTGTTACTAATATACCTGATACAGAAGAATGAGAAATCATTTACAATAATCGGCCAAATATGAATTGTGTTTCAGGTTAACTTTCTGGTGCTTTCAATAAAAATTTTTAACCAAATTAGACTCATAACCTTGATAAATTTTGTTAGTTCTATTCTCTTCTTATTAGTTTAAGTGGCCTCCTTGTGTTTTGTAAAATTGTGGCCACTTATACACATTTGTGCAGAATCTACTGTGTTTGATTAATTTTCATATGGGGGCACGTTGAAATGTTTGTAATTCCAGGGTTTGGAATCCTCTTTATATGATTGTATGTGCAATTGAATGAACGGCTGTTTGTACAAGTAATTTAGTTGTTTGAAATAATCACATAAGTATTTATAAAAAGATTTCCGTTATTATCTCACCATCCGTATCAATGAAGATAATAAGAACGCATTAAATGTCTACCATAATCAAGTGTTATAGCGAAGAAATAAGAAATATATGTAAAGAACTAAATTGATTCATTCTTATCATATGGTGTTTTATTAGCTTGAAACAAGAAGGGTTATTGGGAGTAAAAAATCATGGCATAGTTGAAATGCATGATTGTGTTGCAAGGATAAAAGCCAGACAAGTAATCTGGAAATAAACCATGGAAAAATGAGTAATAATTTATCTGATATGATGAATAATTCACTGATTTGAAGTCACCAAATAAGTGAAACCAATCAGTTTGACAAACATACAACTGACCACCAAGGTGGCGAAATTTCGCTCACACTCTTTTTCTGTTAGTCATTTGAAGGCAATACAAAACTAGAAATATGGATTCATTTAATTTTTAAATCTCTTCTCTATCGCTCAAAAGATGCATGAAATTTAAGCTTTAGTTTTTCCATCAAGGGAAATAAATCACTTACATGAAGCTTCTTTTAAAGTAATCAATTAAAATATGTGCTAAATGGTTATCGTAAATGTTTTATTGGATATTAGGTGAAAGTCTACCGATTACAAAAATCCCACTGCCCAATGGACAATATGAAAATACCACATTTGATTTTCGTTCATGCCCACGACATATTCTCTTCAGTGGCACATCTGTCATTCAGACACGTGGTGATATAAATAAGCGTGTTTTGGCTGTAGTTATCCGAACGGGATTTATGACCACTAAAGGAGAACTTGTGCGATCTATCATGTTTCCGAAACCTATGAAATTTAAATTTACTCAGGATGTTTATCAGTTTTTGGGAGCCCTTTGTGGAGTTGCACTTGTTAGTCTATGTGTCACCATTTATCTCATGGTAAGTCCCTCATCGCTTTTATTACTAGTTTAATTCAAAGTATAGGAACAATAAAGTCAGTTGGAAAATAATATTTTTAGTAGTAATTATCATTTGATTTGTAGTGTTTCTTGACATTAGAGCTGTCTTCGTTTCGTTGAACAGGACTATTCTCTGGGATTGTCTATTGGAGAAGGGTGTGCCTGAGAAGTTTATTAACATCTTGAAAGCCTTATATACTAACACCTCACATAGAATGAGGGTATACAACCAAATCTCTCCATCGTTCAGTGTACGTTATGGTGATAAGAAAGAATGCTGAACAGGACTGGGTTCTGTTGGTTCTTCATGACTCGCTGATCAGAGTCCTAAAGATGGTGCAACACAGTGGCTTGAGACATTATCAGACATGTCTCAGAATAGGAGTCAGTGGTGATCCTGCTGTAACTTTCTTTTACTTTCGTCATGAAAAATGAACGTAACCTCTTTAACTGAAGGAACTCTTTCTGGTTGTACTTTGGCTAACTAAACTGTGTCTCTGATTATTATTATTTCACTCTCATGCACTAATTTCTGTTCGTTTTCGTTCTCTTTTTTCTTGTGCGCACTTCACATCCTCTATCTCTTCACATTCTGTTTCTTTTTGTACGGCACATATGTATTTGGTGACCCTTTGTACCGATATTAATGTGTTCACATAAATAAATAATGAATATAATTGGAAAAATCCTATTGATTTTATGGATGGTCGAAATATATTACGCAGTACTTTTGAGTGCACTCTACGAAATCAAGTAATGTGATCTAATAACTTGTTTCACACATATTATTTTGATATGTTTTGGATGTGTGTAGAAGCGGAATACAGAAATCGTATTTTCTTTTACTTAGAAATTGTCAATTGAATATGTAGTTATTCCATAGTTTGCACTCTGAATTGAACTCCGATCGAATTCGGTTCTGAAAATCAGCAACGAACAAATACAAATGATTACATGTACAACGTTTGTCTGGCTTCTCTGTAGTATGTCACACGATGGATTACTTTACATCTAATAATTTGTTATAAGTAACTTTTTAAAAATTAAAGGTTTCATAGCGGTTTCTTCATTGCTAGCAGTGAAGTTAGTATTGAAGTAGCCATTTGACTTCAAATGGAGAGAATTGTTTTTCTCCGGTATTGGCTTGAATCTGTAACCAAACATCGTAAAATTAACCTGATAAATATTTCCAAAGTTGATTAATCTCAGTTGCGAAATGTTGTATTAATATTCTTATTTCTTTTGTGCTAAATCTATGTACCATTATTGGATTTATTGTAAATGGATTGTCATTTAAACACTGGATTTACTTAGTAACTCATTATAATTTATCTCTTTTTATAAGGTTCATTTTGCAAATCTTTTTTAAATTTTAAATGTTGATTTCAACTAGTATTGGAATAAGAAGGAGTTGTACTATATTATTTTGAGGCCTTTGGACATAGTAACAATTGTGATACCACCTATTCTACCAGTGGCGATGAGTGTTGGAATCGTTTTCGCTCAACGGCGACTTCGTAATCATGGTATTTATTGTATAAATCCAAGCGTTATGAATGTTTGTGGTGTGATTAATCTCACCTGTTTCGATAAGGTTTGTGGGTGTATATTACATTTTGTATTCATCTTAGATATAATGTTTTTATTTTGTTTATCTGTTTATTTGTTCTAATGATGAGTGCGATCGATTCTTTTCACGAAGTTATCGGAATATTGTATTAAGATGAAGCAAAAACAAATTACTGAGTAGAAAATATACGTGCTAGTAATTGGAGATGAGTTATTGTTCTGCATTTGTAGCCCAATAAAAGTCTACTTTTTCTGGCTTGTTTTGTAAAGAAGTGGGGACATAAAGTCTTCAACTGTCAAACAATGAACGAAATAGAGTTTCGCACGTCAGAGATTCAGTTTATTCATCATTATCTAAACAGCACTCTGGCATAATGTGGTAAACGAGCAACAAAATTAATAAAAGTAGAACCTTGCTAGCTGACATTTCATAATCCGCATTTCTTACTGATATTTCGAATGAACAAAATGATGAGAAACAATCAACAACCAACCATAATGACGTTATTGAATGTTGAGCTGTTCATAATCTGCAGAATGAAAAGTGGTAAACATGCTAGCATTGTTGTCGTCAAACTGCAATCATTTCACCAAAGTCTCTAAATTGGTAGAGATTTTGGTTGTGATTGCTACGCTAAATCATACACTTTGACAAGAATTTGATGAGCTGATTTTCTGATGTCAAACTTTAGTTTGTTCATCATGTGGGTTTTGTATCCAACTACCAGTTTAAACATTGGTTAATGGTAGATCACAACACCATCGATTGATTTGTCGCCTTTACTAGGATCATTTGACATGAGTGCAGAAAGTCACAAAGGACGTGTATTTTAAAACATCTGGATAGTGACCTTATTTGGAAAATCATGTGTGTAAAAGAGTACTTGAAGTTGAAATTGGATATGTTGATAGGGGAAAATTCTGATGAACAGTGTTTATCAAACGATACTCGTTCACTCGTTGGTTTTGTTTTAAACATCAAACTTTTCTATAAAGCACATGAATTCTACTCTGTGTACATCTTTGACTTTTCGAAAAGAAATCAAGTTGTAGAGCGAATTGGTGAGAATGCGTTAACTTATTTTTTGCTCCCATGTTTGTGTGGCAAAGAACTCGATTGTTTTAAAATACAAATTTATACCTAACTATCTAAGTTTCCAAATATCATAAATATTTAATTTTAATTATTTACGTACAATGTGTAAATATCACGTTGCGTGATCTTAATCATTTCAGTGGCTTGATATTTTTTCATCGAACAACTGATGTTTCAGTCTAGTATTAACCTCATAGATGATTGATGTGTTACGCAGAAAGTAAAAATAAACGCGTTGTCAAACTATAAGAGGATAGTTAGTAAATCGTATTAAAATTTGGAACTTCTGAATTCTCTAGGAAACTCAATAAACAAATAGAAACGTATGAATTTTGAGAATAAAGCATAAAGCGATATAGATTTCAATAAAGTTATTTTTGTATGCAACACCCTTTAAAAAAGTATAAAACTGTTATTTAATAGTACTTTTATAATACTTTCAGTTTTGCTTCAGAATTTTTGAAATACCAAGATTTTGTTCGTTTTCTTCCCTTAAATCCATAAACCTAAGTTTATCTGGTACAATGATATGATTTTTTTCTCATTTGAATGTTATGTATTCACTGAACACTAATCTCTTCTTACAGAGATTGTACTATTTTTAAAATATTGCATTTTATATACCTCGTGTGTACTGGTTGACATAATATGGTTTAGCTAGCTGTCTGTCGGTGGCATCACTACTAAAAGTTTCAATCCATGAATAACGTGGTGAATGTTTTATTGTGATTGACTGTATTGTTATATCCGTTTAGTTTAAAACGATTACCCCTATATTTGTACTGTTGGTTGTTTCACTGCTAAAATTATATCATACAGTTTATTATACAGATAAATTGATTTGAAAATAGCACTTAGCGTTTCATTTAAAGTCACTGTTCATAATTATCCTACTGTTTCACATGACAAACAGTGCTTTGTTCATCTTGAATTAATGCGTCAAACACGGTTCTTGGAGAAAAATTTATTTAATCTAATTATTCCTTTCGATAAAAATTATATTTGAAACAGTAAGTTTTAAAATATGTGGAACATTAGTGAATGAATGATCCACTATATATCCCAACATTTTGGTTACTGCATCCGTCAATACATTTCTAACTGAATTTTTAATTAACTAAGCAACATCAAAGTTAGCTGTTTTTCAAAGGAAATAGTTAAATCTTCGAATAGTTTGTTGTTTAATGCTCTGATTACCTTTTTTTGTGATATTAGACTGGTACTCTCACTGAAGATGGGTTGGATCTGTGGGGTGTCGTCCCGAACAGAGATGGAGTTCTTGAAAAGCCTGAATTCGAACCATCAAAGTTAGATTACGGACCTTTGGTTGAATGCATGGCTACTTGTCATTCACTGACTCAAATTGATGGTGTCTTATCGGGTGACCCCTTGGATGTGAAAATGTTCCAGTCTACCAAATGGGTAGGTTTTATATTTCCGAATGGTTAGAGTAATTTATGCATAAACTTAATATTTTGAAGAGACAAATATACGTACGTGATTTGCGTTCATTTCACTGTTGAGTAATACACATTTACAAATGTTTATGTCAGAAGTCACTGCATCTATACTAGTGATCTGATTTCGAGATCTCGTAACTGAACTTAGAACATTACTGAAATTATTCACTCGATGTTATCTAGTTATTGTAGTGCCCCTATTGTTTTCACCTTATTGTTATTATACTGAGCAAGTCTTTTACTTCTTTCATAATTATGGATAAGCTCACAATAACTGGATTCCATTTGTTCCCTGTATTTCAATCGTTGGATGTAATGGTTGTACAAGAATTAGAATAAATGCCTTTAGAATCATTTGTTGCGTTTACGTTTGATGAATGCAGCTGACAGGTGTGATATATAGTTTCCACAGAAATTTGTCTTAAAAGATCAACGTTTAAATACAAGCATATAAGCCGGTGACCTCGGTGTTCTACGTAGATGAAGGGATGATTTTGGGGGCTATTCGGCTCTATTTCTTCACAAATTTATGCCTGTACAGCAATACCAATGATTGTCAGGTACGATTTATTACCACCTATAAGCTATTCTATACTCCACGCATGGTGTTTACAAGGTTAATATCTGGAACAGAAATATCACTTATTAATTTCACTCTGTGGTTTTATTTTCTGGCAGAAATTGTTATTTGCTCCTTTAATTGTGTCTGAATTTATAATCAAAGTAGTTCCCTAAGTAGACTTTCGCCTTGCAAGCGATACTCTTGGCTCTCTATCTACTCATTTTAGTTAAATTTGAATTGAATAAGTATTGAGCAGAACGTGGCAGCTGGGTTCCTAACGAAGATATTTATTGCACGATAACATGTAGAAGAAGAAATGACATATTGATTCAACATTGCACTTTTTCATTATTTATTTTTATGTTTATTTGATAAGCAAGTGGAATTAACTGTACGGTGTCGCACACTTAACACCGATAGTGTTACAGTATCTCTTAGTATTGATGGTTGGGATCAGTTGAGCGTTTTACAAATGGTTTACTTTGCATTTATGTACTAACGTGTGAGTGCAATACGTTAATAGCTGTGGAGGTTGAATCAAATTATGTGGTTGGAACATTACTATTTTGTGAAGCATTTATTTGTTACAACAGCCAATGAAATATCTTTCTAATCGTTATTTGTAGCTCTTACAGCTCTCCCAGTGTTATTTATATACTTTCAAAGAAAATGTGGCTTATTATTTTTACTTTTCATATTTACCTGATTACTGCTAATTTAGTTTACGCTGCATAATTTGTATTTTCGTCTCACTCTGTCATGAGGAAGCAACAGAATGGAGCAAACAGTAAAAATCAGGGACATTTTCTTCGATCTTTCACTTTGCAGCTGTGTAGAAATTCATATTGTATGTTTTTCTGACTAGATGATAACCTACCTCCTTGCCAAAAATTTATTTTCAAAACTTAAGTTATACTGCATGTGGGATAACTATAAAGGGATTACAAAGGATCTATGAATATTCCTTAATATTCTAGGTACATGTCCTAATAGTGTGCAAAACGTAGACCATATTTTGACATTTCACGAACTATTTGTGTAAATTGTTGTATTCTATATTGTGCAAAAGAAATATATCACATCGAAATACTATTTAAATCAGTCTTGTAAAAGACTGAACACAGAGTATCAGGTTATAAAATAACTGTGAAAATATTCGAGCTGAATACGTTTCACAAAAACGTGCTCCAGAGTCAAGAACTGTTTGTAATATTTAAATTGTCTTGTACTTGTGAAGGTGTACAGATTGTTTAGTTTGCTTTTATTTCTTTTAAATAAATATCTTCGTTAGCTAAGCATTATTACCTTAATCTAAATGTCCATAAAGCTGTAAATCGATTTTTATCTTTATTTACTGGCACATTATCGATCTTTGATAGGAATTCATCGAAGTTACTTCGGAAGATCAACATAATTTTGATTTAGTTATATCGGCAATCGTACGTCCCAAGAAGGATGAATGTGGTGATACATTTAAAGTAGGTCTCAGTTTCAGGCAAAAATTTTAGCTCATATTGTTAATTTGTCTTTCCTATTAACGATTCCTTATTCATTGATGAAAAGGTTTTAATATTATCCATTTGGCGCCTTTCCCCCACTCCTTTTATTTCCCAGGACCTTCTAAAGTTGGTCTATCTACTCTGTGTCAGGAGTTTTGTTATTATGACGTAAATCTTCACTGTCTACTCAACAATCAACATGTAGAAGCTTCCCCTTAGGTATTCTTTTGTAAAACGTGTTTTTCACATGTGCTTTCTACGTAGCGATATATAACTAGAAATTCCCCTCGATTTATCCGTGAAAAATCAAAGTGTCTGTGTATGAAATAGGAATAAAGTATGTGTGCTTTTATTCTTTAACTAAAAAAATATGCTGCTAAGTTGAAATAATTGACTAATCTGATATACGTCCTTAAAAGGATCGCTATTTATTCACAGGTATTGGATATTCACTTTGCAAGAATGAACAACTATTCTACCTCCTACGAAAAGTTATACTGGGCCCACCAGTGAGGACGACTTTCTGACCGACTTCAAGAAGAAAGAATTTTTCAGAATATAAGATGTAAATAAATCAAAAAGTAGCTTGTTCTTAAAGTAAATTTTTACTGTAGGTTATTTTTCATAGGTTGTAATCTAAACTTAGTGACTAATTTATATGCATTTCGTTTTTAGAAGATACCGTATGAGATCGGTATAGTACGTCAGTTTCCTTTCAGTTCATCTGTACAACGGATGTCTGTGATAACACGTACTTTAAATGAATCTCAATTTCATGTATATACAAAGGGCGCCCCAGAGACAATAGAAGTTTTGTGTCGACGTGATACAAGTAAGTAATCACTTTGATGTATGAACCCATATTGTGTTATTTTATAATTTTTACAAATTGTATTTCCTTTATTTTGAAAATATTAAGAAGGAAGTGCATATGACAAATCTAACTATATAGAAGTAAAGCCAACCGCATTCGAAAGTGTACACGAGTTACGTGTAAATGTGGAAGTTCTCAGCTTATAAAATTCTTATCATGAGATAACACATTGAACCGCCGATGTATGAAACGTTATTTTCTGAAATATCATCAGGCTGTGTATTTTGTTGCTGATAATCTGTAATTCAGTTTACGAGGACACAATAATCGTCTAATTGAAATAATTGTTTCCATCGGAAGTAAGCTAAACGTTTAAGCCAAACTATATTCTTCTGATAGATTAAATGATCTCATTTTTTATTAAAACCGGAATATTTTAATGTTTATAACACAAAAGTTGAATTATAATTTGATTCTTTCAATGAAATTCACTTCAGTATACCTACGTTTTTAAGTCATAAGTTTACTATTGTACTTTACAGTAGTTTCTAGGTTCGTGTGATTAAAAATCGCTGTCATATACTCATTTGGAGTTTTGAGAATTATAGCGTATTTATAGCATTGGTTGTTCAAATTTCCGTTTAATATTTTTCCATGTACTAAAGTAAATCGCAATAAATCTCTTGAAAATGTATCTGCTTGTTGTAATATGATCATTACAGTTAATTTGACTTATTATTTGTTTTACAGTAGCCCTTTACCTAAATAATGATAATTCATGGATTAAACATACAACATGTAACAGCAAATGTTTATTAAAAATCATGTATTATAATTTATTATAATGAGTATTGTTGAATAAACGTTTCTGTTGCAGTACCTACTAATTTCCACTCAAATTTGTTGGAATTCACTCGAGAAGGCTTTCGCGTTTTGGCATTGGCTTGGCGACCTATCAAGGCATCATATTTACGTATTATGCGCATATCGCGTGACCGAGTTGAACATAATCTTTTGTTTCTGGGACTACTGGTGATGGAAAATCGACTGAAACCTGAATCTGGTCCGGTTATTAAAACTCTACGCCAAGCGAATATACGACCGGTTATGGTAACAGGTGATTTCATTAGTGTTTGCTCCCAAGCATCATTTTAGGCAAATAGCTGATAAAATTTTAACTACGTATGAGTGGGACACCAACAGTCTACTTCACTATAGGAAACATAAACATTGTGGTGGAATAGATAGCGAGAGTTCGTACAGTCAATAGATAAATCAACAAGAGATACAGTCCAATGACGAAAACAACCGAGGTCGATTATGTTCAGTTAGGAAGATGCACCTTGCTTTTGTGAGATATATAGTTGAACACCATGAGGAAATCAGTACTAGGTTTTATTCTGAGCTATATATGACTGTCTTGGGTCAGTGAATTTTATACTATGAAAGATACCACTTTATTAACTTTCTTTTCTTTTTATTCACTCAGTACAAAAGTCCGTAAATTATGGACGGTATTGAAGTTGCTGCAACGATATTCGTAAAAGTAGATCCAAGCGGTCAACTCGAGGCGATGATACCAAACAAGTTGTAATGATTAGGTCTGAATACATTACCAAAATTCATCATCACTTGTATGTATTTACCACCGGAAGCAAGCAGTCAATCGGAGATAATGGTGACGGGATACGGAAGATCGCCAAATATCGTCAGTTAAAAAAGACTAGGCTGAACAAAAATAGAGTGTAAACCTTTTTCTGAGAAACCGGTGTCATGACATTATTAAAGACGGTCCTCTTAAGACGGTATATAGAAAAACGTTTGCAGTGCTAAATGCCTCAAACTGAAGCAGGCGATCGTCTTAAGGGTTTTCAATTTATCTTTTTGGACCATTTATCTCCACCAACCTGGTTTAAATAGTGAACGTTCCTCTTCATTTCTCTTTTAGTAGACATATCCAGACATATGAATGTTCTGTGGCTCTTTCAGAATAACCAGCCATGTGAAGTTATTTCTGGAGGAATGGTAAACTCTTACCTAGTTCGTTTGTACTGCTCGACATGAGAACAAGTAGATTCGTTAAGAATCTTACTATTTAAAGAAGGCATGTGTGTCCAAATAATATTGGCTGATGAATTACTGAAACACAATAGACCTAAAGAATTATTTTGCCCTATTTTAGAATTAACCTTTATTCCGGATCATCCTGGAGAACACGACATCATTTAGTCTCTGAATCTAATGGTAAATGCTTGAAACTTCACTGCCTCGATCCACAAATTCTTTTGAAAAGGGAGTTTAAGAGATATTGGTTAATCAGGTTATTTCTTTTTATTTTCATATGCTCTGAACTACCTTCAGGCAAACGTACTTGTACCGTAAGTATGAAAATAATAATCTAAAGAACAATCAGGTCATAATTGCCTTCTTAACTCTTGACATTTTGAACATCAGAGTATTTTGTTAGATCCTTCTGGGATAGAAGTGTTGATATAACAGTATGAATAGATCTGAATTTATAAATAAATTGGCATAAATTGTCTTATAGAAATAGACAGTAGTAGTGATACAGATCAAAGATATTTATAAAGTTGTCACAAAGATAGAAGCTTTGTGAAAGGATGTAAAAGTGTATTGGCTCATGTCTTGTTAATTTCCATCATCATAGCATAATAACTTAAGATTGAAACATTGCCAACTAATATATTTATAATAGTCTGAACGAGGTATATCATTTTTAAGGTGAAGAGTTTATAAGTTAGTTTGTAGCGTCATCTGTATATAATTTCGGCTCACACATAACACTGTTGACTACCTTTAAAAATTGACGCGGCCGATACTTTAAACTAATTTCACAAATTGTTTCCTGTGAAATGTTTGCCACTTCAATCAGAAGTATAAACCGGTTTTGCGACCCAAGTAGTAGTAAGTGGAAAAAGTTGAAGTTTTCTGCCAGTCTGTGTCTATTTACTTCAATGATTGATAATTGCTTTTTGGCTTAAAATCGACAAAAGTACTCATGTATCTTTTATGAATATTCGTTATAATCCAAAGCTTTTATAGTTTGTCGATATAGACTTATTTTAATGATACATATTTAACATAATTTCTATTAGTTCTTCAAATATTGTTTTTAGGTGATCATATGCTTACCTCTCTTTCTGTGGCACGAGACTGCGAAATGATTGATGAACTAGATCGAGTCGTCATTGTGACAGCTCGTCCACCACCTTGTCCTGGTAATGATTTTGATTCAGATGTGTTAAATGAAAGTCAACCAATCCCTATACCAAATATTGGATTTTCACTGAAAAGAATCCAAACAACATTCAGGATGCTACCAATGCAGGAAATAATAAAAATTTTCAGATGATCTTATCAATTCCCTTGTTCAGTTTCACTATGCAGAAGACTTAACAGACCGGTTACTGAAGTTGCGACAACTAACATTCAAATGAAGCGAAATCTAACTAAAAGTGACAACAGCGAGACATCGAAACAGTCATTTTCCAAGAGATTGAAAACAAGATTTAATTTTGGTCGATTACAAAGTCCCTCAAAAGCTTTTACTAGGTACATAAATGTTTTATATTTACTTTGACCATTCAAACTTGCGTATGTCAGTAGTGTTGAGTTGAATAAATCATCATTGGTACTATTATTGCTCTAAATATAGTTATTCTGCATTCATAGTCTTGCATCCCTGTTAAATAAAGACTTAATCTGCCAAATGTTTTTGGGAAAACATTATTCATATTTAACTAGTCAAACTAGATGTAAAATAAGTAGTTCACTTAGGATGCCGTTCCTTACTGTTATATATTGTGGAACTAGATTTCCATTCTATTTATTATCCACACTATGTTGACATTTATATTTTGTATATGGAATACTGATATATGTTGTTTCATCTTAGCAGTGCCCATCCACTACTCCTTTGTAATCTCGTAATACGATAAAAGAGCTATCCAGTCCTTTCTATTTTTGAATGATTGTCTATCTGGAGTCAGTGTCTACTGTGAAACTTCAAATCCAACAATCATTACAACATCCTGTTTTAAAAAATATTGGTAACTGTGCTTTAAAGTTTTGTTGAGAAGTACTGAAAGTTTTTGACGATGCCCTACAGTGTAACGCTACATGTTATGACATGTCTATTTGTTTGAAATAAGTTTATGCATTTCATGCATTTCATAAACCGAAAAACAGGCTTTGGACATGATAACGTTTTTTCAATTGAACCTTGTTCGAATTTGACAAAATCAAGTACACAATTGTATGATTTCAAATAATTTTGTTTATATGAATCTTAATTATCTCTAGTTTAGAATATATTATGTAAATGAAACGAGTGAAGTTAACAATTAGTAACTCAATTTTAATTGTTCAGTTTGTCCATATTTCGTCACTATTCGTCTTAACAAAAATATTTGAATTGGTGCTTCACAATGTAAATTAAATATGATTATGTCAGCCATTTTCTAGCTAATTTTAAAATCTATGTGTTTAAACTGAATTATCACATAATTACATCTTGTAAAACATTTCACTGAGCCTTGATAACTTCTGTTTGAAACAGTTAGACAAGATTCAGGAATACTGCGAGCACTAACGCTATTAATGATCAAAGGCAATTTAAAATAGAGTGGTTCTATGAATAGGAAGAAGTTTTGACAAGAACCCAAAAGTACTCGACTGATAAATAACGTTGCGTTAAGTACCAAAACACCGACTAAATTAATACACGAATTATCAACATTTAGAATGAACAAAGTGATGAAAAAAACATAATTAATTCGCACTGAGTGTTGAGCTGTTCATAATCTGCAGAATGAAAAGTGGTAAACATGCTAGCATTGTTGTCGTCAAACTGTAATCATTTCACCAAAGTCTCTAAATTGGTAGAGATTTTGGTTGTGATTGCTACGCTAAATCATACACTTCTGACAAGGATTTGATGAGCTGATTTTCTGATGTCAAACTTTAGTTTGTTCATCATGTGGGTTTTGTATCTAAATACCAGTTTAAACATCAGTGTTTCGAAATAATTAAACATCACCGGATCACCTCAGTAGTCCTTCGGTAACATTTACATTCATATATAGCCCTCGTGTTATATAGTACCGACTGTAACGTTGGAGAAATAAGTTGATATATGGTGAATTGACAAGTTGTTTATTTCTTCATAAATAAAATTTCAAATCAGCTTGATTATAAGAATTTGCTAAGTCATAACAGTGTGCACGATAGTTGGCTGTTTATATTAGCTAGTTATTTAAGTGCAGTATTTAAGCCCGAAGATTGCTGTATAAACTCCTGTGATAAATTTCTAGTTCATGATTGTTATTGCTTGCAGATCATTAACAGTAGGTGATGTGATGAACAATATTGATTCTAAGGACATAGAAAACCGTGCGGATTTCGAGAAAGGTTTGTACAAAAGTTCCACTGAAAACCGCCATTCTCTGTCCATTCAAATGATTGATCGACCTGATTTTCATCTGGCAGTGTCAGGCAAGACATGGTCCGTTATTCAGGAGCACTATCCTTGGCTGATACCCAAAGTAAGCTCTTTTTGAGAACTAACTAATATTATGTATCATTGTCTTTTATGTCCAAACTGTTGAGTGTCTGGTTTCAGTTTTTCGCATGTGACTACAGATCTCATGTTAACAGATGTTCAAAATAATGTTTTAGTGACAAAAAATACTGGTCAATTAAGTAGCTGTAATCTGGTAGTTTTACACCGCTAGTAGACCTTCTAAAGTTAATGACAGTCCCAGGCCGGAGTAAACGAGGAGGTTTGAGCTTGGGACCAACAACTCCACTCCGTAGGAATCACCTTGCTAAATGTATATTTATAGTTATTCTTGTAAAATATTCCCTATCGAGAGTAGATTTATTATGAGACAATTTTACCTTTGAAAACCAGTTACGGACACTGCAACTCGGTGATTCTGAGTCCTGAATTCCATTAGTGGATGAAAAGTATAGTTTGTTCAGTATCGTGAAAAGAGAGATTTAACTTCATTGAAGCCTCGGCTTCTATAACGGATCACTACTTTTGCCAACCTAATTTCGGTTAACTATTTACTCTGAAGAAGTGGCTTAAATTAAGTCACAAAACGTCAGAAATACAATTTTTCTACTCATTGGGATATAACAAAAGTAGATTTATTATAAAGGATCAAGTCTTAGTTTAGTGCACCTGGACTTTTGGTTTAAAGTACAATCGCTGTGACGAATACGGAGTGGAAATCGTCGCTGAACATAATCCAACCTGTTTGTCTTAAACGAATACACGACATATAATAAGGACAAAGTATTATTATTATTGGTCGGACACATTCTTTGTACATTAAAATACGTGGGTTAGTGTTATAGAGGCTACGTAGTATACAACTCGGAAGTCATTGAGACCTGCTTCTGAAAGTACAGATTGTGGGAATATCTGAGTCTTAAGTCTACCACAGTATTAAACCTAGATACGATCTTATTGTTTACGGTAAAGTCAAAATTGAAAAAGAAATCACGACAATAAAGCTATCTACATTTAGTGGTTCTAGGTTTCATTTCGAGGATCACAGAGAAACTTTTTTGAGATCCATACAGATGGTTTGGCGTATGGCTAAGCTCATGAAAAGAACATGAACACATTACCATAAGATCATCTGCATAAAGAAATTTTTTATCCATAGTGAAGTATTCTTACATATCGCTTATTTAAATTTTTTAAGAGAAGAAAACGTGATACACTACCCCGTGTTATACCACTTGTAGCGAGTTTATTTAACTATACGGTGTCTGTGCTTGAGGAAATTATTGAGCCACACAAGTAAGAGTGAGTGTGAGCTCATTTATAAAAAGTTGGTGGTAAATTATGCTGTAGGCTTTAGAAATGTCAAAACATAGTATTAAAACTAGTTGCTCAATGCTACATTCAGTGAAAACTGAGTTAAACAAATTAGGATAACTAGTGATGCAAGATCCAGTTCCACGGAAGCCGTGTTGTGAATGAGTGTTGTGTTTTCCAGCGAATTAGTAGTCAGAAATTTCGTCACATACAATATTTTACATTATTCTTGGGATAACCGGGGTAATATTCACAGGCCGATACTCATCTTAGTCAGTCTTGTTTGTAGATTTGTGAGGAAGTATTGTGTGTGGTTTCCAACAGTTAGGACTAGTGCCCGTATGCAGAGGAACTATAAACAGTTTTAGAAGAAGCAGTGGAAGTAAACATGTAGAATTCCGTCAAATTGATGACTTCTCGAAACCTTAAGGGATTGGAAGAGATACATCTCATGTGTGATTTCTTGTCCAAAGTTTTCTAGAGTCTTATTAAATGGATTGAACTCATTCAACAGTGCTATCGCAAGACATCTCCTTGATACAGGACATAAAGCTGATATACTGAAGTCCTTCAAGGTGATTAACAAACAATCAAACTCGAACCTTTTGAAATTCGCTGAAGCGTTAGCAATCAAACGTTTAAAACCAGATCTATGTATACAAAAAGAGACAGTAATAAATCTTTCTTTACCCTGGTAACAATAACCCCCACTCTTTCTATTAATTTGCTCCTATTTATTTATTTATTTATTACGTCATTATTGCAACTCTTTCTGAAATATAAATTACATCATATATAACTGATTGATTTCAATTCATATTTTCTTTATTACCATTAATCTATTTTCATGAGTTCTAATCATTCGCTGAGATTTTACAAATATATTCTTCTTTTTAATGTCTCAAATTAACTCGGCGCCCAAATATTGCGAAACTATTCGTTCAAATTTAGACGAAAGTTCTTATTTATTGTTCTAATCACTATTTCAATGTTCTGGAACTTTCCTTCTCTAACTTTATTTATTTATTCGAATCAAACATTTTATGAGCTTATTAACTCTATCTGAATCTTTGCTTGCTACATCATCATACACATGTATTGATCCTTAATCACACTCTTATGTATACGCATGTCAATATCTGTAATAATGTTGATTTTCAAATAATTTAGGTTGTAAGCAGCTGATGAGAACCTAACGAAATAAAATGAATTCATATTATTCTGCACCAATCTTTGTTCTTGCTCTATTTAGGAAAATGTTTGTGTCGGTTTTCGAATCTTTACAAAAGAACCATTATGGAAAATTCAAGGGGAATCCTAAGTTTGCGATAATCCTACACGTTTATTGAGTAGAGTAACTAAGGTTTACTTCTTTTGAACCACCGTTAAGTGCTAACTACCCTTCAATATAGGCCTTTGAATTATGAATTTCTCAGACTTGGTTAAAAATTACAGCTAATTGTGCGGGTAAAAACAATTCGACTTAAAGTAACTTTTCGAAAAAATTTTAATTAGTTGCGTTACTTAACTGTTATGAATAAGGCATTAGCTTTTCACCGGTGTAATGGAATCGATTTGATAAAATGTCTCGCACACGTACGAGACTATTTCTCGAGGAGTTATTCAAAAATGAACACTTCAACAAGGTTTGCATTAAGCCCACTTTGCACTTTATAGTCCCGATATTGACGTTTTCTTTTTAAGGAAAGGTTATCAGTAGGGTTAATATTAACGGGAAGAATACAGACAACCATTTTATGATCATTGCTTCCAAGTTCATTCTTAACTTGTACGGATGGGGGAATGGTATCTTGAAATAGAATTAGTTTGAGGATGTTAGCATGCCTTCCTGAGGTATGCACCTATCAAAACCAACAGTAGATATCTAGTATTGTTGAGAATTCCTCATTACTTGACGGACTTGTCACCAGTTAATCAGTTTATAATAGGATAGCTGAAGTCACCTCCATGGCTTCCGCATCAACATTTCAAATACAATGATGCATAAGTGCATTAACACTAAGATCATCCACAGTGGCTGAAGTGTCTGGGCTCTGTATACCCAACTCACAAGTAGACTATGGATCGATGTATTGACCGAGATCCAAACTAATCTTGATAAACTGATGAGGATACTGTCTTAGGATATATTAGTTGTTGAAAATTTCAAACTCCTCCTAGAGCCCCTCTTAAGCTACTAGTTGTCCTCTTAAACATACAGGAGATGAATTTGGCAAGAGTTTACCAAATTCATTCCTCAAAATAGTACCTTACTATAAAAAAAACACGACAACCACGCAATCCAGGGTGAGCCATAGACAGCTACTCCCACGTTTTTCGATATAATCTTGAGAGAGTAAATGCATATGATGTAAGTGTTCTTTTTATTCAAAATCAGATTTTCAAGTCTTTGCAATTTATCATAATGACTAAGACATTCATTTCAAAGCCGAGTAATAAATACCAAGTGCACAACACTATGAAAATGTGTGCATTGTTCATGAAATGTTGGATAAACTTATCATCGATAATGTTAAATTTATAACAAATTACAGAAAGGATCCACGCACTTCAGTGAATGAATTTCTTGTGATGACCATTTGACTGATTTAAATTTATGCAGTCTTGATACCATTCTTCCAGCCACCAAAACTGAAACTTAGGTCATTAAATTAAATAGAGAATATTTCCTCAAATTTATCAACTGTCATTCAAACTGAAATTATGTTAATTTCTCCGAATGCTATGCTAAAATACTAGTAATATTTTTTAAATTTTAGCTGGTTGTGAAAGGTACAGTGTTTGCTCGCTTTTCTCCAGAACAAAAAGCACAAGTGGTTGAAGCTCTTCAGTCTGTTGGTTACTTTGTTTCTATGTGTGGAGATGGTGCAAATGATTGTGGAGCTTTAAAAGTAGCTCATGCTGGGATTTCCTTAAGTGAAGCAGAAGCAAGTATTGCTAGTCCTTTTACATCAAAGAAACAAAATATAAGCTGTGTACCTATGCTTATAAGAGAGGGTCGTTGTGCTCTTGTAACAAGCTTTGGAATGTTCAAATTTATGGCTGGTTACTCCCTCATTCAATCGTTTTCCATAATGTTACTTTTTGTGGTAAGTTCATTTACAGATAAAATATTATATTTCAACCCCTACTTTGTACTCTAGTCCATAAAACTGTTTCACAATTTAGATTATCCTTAGATAGTCCAAAATAGACCGGAGTATAACTTTTATTTTCATTGCTTTCTGATAATGTTCCGTTTTTGTTTCAGGTCGGTAGCAATTTTTCTCAGTGGCAATACTTACATTGTGATTTCGTCATAATTACAACGTTAGGTTTAACATGTGAGTTGTTATTTATTAAACTTAGTGTGCCGTAGATGTTCTTTATCATTTTACCTAGCATCTTAAGACATTCTTAGTAGGCTTAAGTATTTTGTATCCATTATTCTGAAGTGATAATTATGTTAAGTTCTCGTTGACTCAAATGATTAAATTGGTTATAAACCGATCATTCAATGAAAAGATCTCACCATCTTAATAAAGAAATGACTTTTGTCTTTACCCGTGGCCTGTATCAGCATTATGGAACTAGGTCGTAAAAATTCACAATTCGAGTTCAAATATGAACACTTATAAATGGGATACTTGATTTTAAAAAGTTTCTAAAATGGTTGGTGTGACTGCACTCATCAATTATATCAATTCAAAAGTCCTAGAATACAAAATATCCTTACATCTAACTTAACATAGTAAAATACTAAATAAATTCATATTCAAAATATTCAAGATAGTATGTCTTCAGATGAAAATCAAGGGATTTCACTTCTGTTCTCGATATCGTTTGTCACTTTCGGAAACTATAATTTATGCGCTTCTAGTTAATGTTATCCTGTGAACCCTTTCAATTTACTTGCTCGTGTTATGGGAAACACTCTAAAACGACTTTTAACATGCAAATAAACACTCAGCTGATGCGAAACGTTAAAGCGGTGTTGAGAAGTGAAGAAAACACACCAAACTTATCAAAATTTCTGAGGTCGACTTAAATCCGGAAGTACAGTTGATGAGTTGTTTAATCATTGTTATGGACTTTTTCAGCCTAAAGATTTGTTTTATTCTCTAATACTAGAGTTTGATTCAGCTCCAGTCAGCATGTACATTTTGTGTTTTCAAATTAAAAGTATGTTTTTAATAAATATTTATAAAAATTAAGTGATTTGGAGCGAAATACAAAGTTTACATCAAGAATACTTGAAAGGTATCGTCATTTTAATCTTTCAGAATAGCCTTATATTTTGTTGTTAGTAATATCAATAGATTCCTAAGCAAACTTTTATATTCACAATATTCTTTATTTTAGTTTGCAATATTTTTTTGTACATATGCGCATACAATTTATGTTGTGGTGTGAGGAACCTAACTTTTATGCTGATGAAAGATAAATTCATGAATTTTGTTGCTGTTCCAACTTATTAGTTTGTAAATAATCACGATATCATTGAGAATGACAGTGTAAAATAATACAAAAATGTTACAGTATATCCATTTTAAAAAAGTTCGGATATTGTCCCAATGTAATTTGTAATAATGAGGCTTATCATTTATTTAAATTACCGTTTCAATCCTCTCCATAATTAGTCGATGACCTAGATGGTGGTAAATTTCTTCTAGATGTTAATGGCTTTATCATAGGTTTATTGGCTTTGCATAAAACTATTATTAAACGTTTCAGGCACTATACCTTTGTGCTTTAGTTGTTCAACCTAATTTGGTCTTAACAATGTTAGTTTTAGTGATGTTTACAAAAAATTACATAACAGACTGTTTTCTTAATGTTTTCTAATTTCTGGTTGGATAAGAAAAACAAAGCTTTTTGGATGAACCCCTCAATCATTTTGTCAAATAAATATATCTGATTGCGATAATTTAATTCTTTTCAATTGATTGACACATTCAAATAATGCAAAAATTCCGAATGATTTTCAAACTGATCATGTTTGTTGTGTTGAGTAAAGTACAGAATATGTGATCACAAACGAATATATTGACGAAGGAGCGATTTTTTGTACAGTTCAATCAATAATTGACAATAAATCAACCGATGTTCTACAATCACTTATTTATTTTTCACATGCGTCTCAAGTTGTCGTTAGCAAAACATTTGTTCCAGTATTCAGTCGTGCTTCATTTTGACTGCAATTGGTAATTTTGAGTACGAAATTTTCACTTTTACGTTCCAAGGAATTCTTACTGCACTAAGTTTGGAAAGCATACTCTCACACGATGACCTTGATGTTGTTCGTCCTAAAGTAAAAGATCCTGACAGCAAAACGATTGTTAATAACCAATGTGTTCGCTATCAATACCATCGTTTTCTATATTTACATATGTACTGTGCATATAACATCAAATAACAATCATTTTGTGTTTGCCTATATAAGTTGTTTAGGGTTTGCCTTGTTATGCAATTCGATAATTTTTTAAAGTAAATCCTATCTTGTTCTGCTGTTTTTTCCGTGTGTTTGCCACATTGTATTTCCTCACTACTGCTGTTTTTTCTCTCATTTTTTTGAATATGTATATTAAACCTGTACCTTGGCATTCACAGCTTTTGTTCTGCTAATACTAACTAAAGTTTCCTTGTTTTCTCTTTTTCAATATTCTCTGTACTGCCTGCATGGAACTATTCATTACTACAATTTTCGATAGGGTTCAGCAGTAATTGACGTGTTGAAGTTATTGTCTTTTTAATTTTTCCATTTACTCTGCATAGTGTTTTCCTCTTCGTCTAGTAGGTCTTGTAAACTTTGAAGCTTATTACTAAGATCCATCTTGGGCTGATTCAGCTTGCTGTCATGGTAAAGAGGGATTGCATTAAACCTTTATTGTGCTGCTTCTTCAACTGTCCAACGCTTCTTAGCCTCAGATTTGTCCGACTACCCCCAGGTTCCATCTCAAACTACATCAGATCCTGTCTTTGTTCGTACGCCTTCCATGGATCTTTTTAATGTTTTATTGATACAGGTGTGATCGGGTTTGTTTTCTGTAGTGTTGTTCGGTAAAATATATATATATATATATATATATATATATATATATATATATATATATATGTTTGTGGAGAAAAATAATTCAAAATTATTGAAAGTACATAGATTTACTGGTATGTCACCATTCTCGTTCCTTTCTCCGTGTACATTTCGCCTCATGATGCGTTTGTACCCGATGTTTTCCACCCTGACCTTGAGATTTAGTTCCCTCGTGATGATAGATAGCTGTCAAAAAAGGCATTGACTTCGCCATTTTAAGAAATCTCGGCTTCACTAATGAGCTGTTATAACTCTTCTGCATGAAGAAACCTCAACTCTCAGGGCGAATTTAAAATGGTTTAAACGAATTTTTCTGTTTAGCGTTTCTTCACGAACTAGGATTACCAGTCGTGAACCCAACCTCCTTTAACTGGAATTGGACCGGCAGTAACCCTAGACGGGCTCCAGGCGAAGTTTGACTAATTTAAAGTGGTTTGATATTATTATTACTGACGAGTTGTTATACATAAAAGAAGCATACCTTCCTCAAGACGTATTTGTTTGATACATGTGAACAGAAAATATTTTTAAGTAGCTACTCACATTTACTTACCGGCATTTCATCATTTTCTTAAAAACTATATATATCATCTTTAACTCATAACTGTATATGGGCTTGCATATTTCAGTAGTTCTAACTGTATTCAGAAGTTTTAGATATGAAGCTTAAGTTTTCTATACCATTCTTTTGAATAAATTGTGAATTTGCGTTGACTAAGTCACATGTGTATTTCGTATCACACTATACTAACTGTCGAATCCTTCATGCATTGGCTGAAACAATGATCTCTAGTCAAAATATTTTAACCAATTAGCTTAAAATGAATTCTTGCTTGATCTAATGTTGAGGTTAACTTTGCAAGTTGCTTAAATGGCAAAACAGTAGAAATAACTTCGTATCAAATATACTTTTAAACTTCATGTTAAACTTGAACTAATTATCAGCCTTAGGGTTGATTCACTGTTTATGAAGAATTTCAATGATATGGTTTGCGCCATGAAACCTTAATTGGAAATAGAAAGTATATTTATATTTTCAAGAAAAACCTACTTTTATTCTTTCATTATAAAATAATCTACATATTGACTGTTTTAATTTTTTCCATTTTACGTTAATAATCTTCACCAGTTGGATATACACATGCTTATCTACATCTTTCTGCTGAACCGCCTACAATGAGACTTTTGAGCATGGTAACAATGACTTCATTATTTGGTCAAGTGATAATTGATTTTGTTATTCAAACAGCTGCATTCATATTGATTCGCCTTCAATCTTGGTATGCAATTTCGTTGAATTTTATTCCTAACTGCATGTTGTTAGCGAATTTCATTCGTCACTGTTCTTTTGTTAGTTGCTTGCATTTTCATATTTTTACATAAGTTGTAGGAGAAAATGTAAATGCCAGTTAACTGTAAATGTATGTAATACCAGTCCAATACCTTGCTCATGAATATTCATATTACGAGAAACATTTTGTACATTCATTTTATCCCAGCTATATTGAAGAACTAAATAAAAATTCAAGTTGACTTTTACACATTTTGATGTATTTGCAAACAGATATTGAATCCATGTAAGATGGTTGTATGCAGTAGATAAGATACTTCAGATCTAGGTTTGGTGTCGCTTTGTACTTGTTAGTGAAATTCTCAAACCATGAAAGTCACTCTTTTTGTGAACATGATTGCATGACTAGGCAACAAAATTAAAGTTAATTGGAAACTTGGAACTTAGCTTACAAACTGAACGGAAGCAGAGTTTGACGTTTGATTGAAGTTGTTTCATGCATGCATTTTGCCTTTATGTGATATGCTTTTTCCTAAAATTTATGGCGTGATGTGTAAACCAAGTAAGAAAAATGTTTTTGAATGTATTGAATTATTGGTCGATTTATTTTTCACAGACGTAAACCTTCGATCATTTACTCTTAAATTTTTGTTCGATCTGTTTGTAACATTGAGGAAATTTACCATTCTTTGATCATTCTTTTAATAGGTATATGCCGTTATATTCGTACTCTAATATATCCGAATATCGAACCTATGAAAGTACATCAGTATTTATAGTCTCCACTACCAATATATAACTTTGGCCATCGCCTTTTCAAAAGGAACACCATATCGTAAATCATTCTTAACGAATTGTAAGTTGTTGTTTGTGTTTACAGAAATATTTATTAATGACGTAGATTGTTAGGTATTAAAAACGTGAATTTACTGGGTGTACCACTGCGGTATTGAGATTTCAACTTATAATTTAACATACAACGATCCCTTTGTGATGATAATGTTAACACTTGTCTGCTGTTCTTTATCCAATGGAACTAATTAGTATATAATTATCCGGTTTTATCTTAGATTCGGTTTCTTTTTATCTCTAGGTTATTATGCAGAGATGTTGCTACACTACTTAGTTCAGGTAGAAATTATTCCATCAAACGAATTGGGAAAATTCACATCATTTGAATTGATGCATTTTTAAGCTATTTCCGTCGCACAACGTTTCTTTGAATTATATTCATAGGGACTTAGTAGTTCTTTAGTTATTATAACATTTACCAAGTAATTTACATCTGTAACTCGGACTAGTTAATTGTATGAAATATTCATTTCATTACTATGTCAATAGTTTTAAAACACTATTCGATGAATATAAACTGGCTGCTTCTTACTAATCAGCGTGTTATTCGAATTTCCAATTATGGTTATATAATCCGTGTTTGACTATAGTATCCACTTTTGAATAATTCCACGATTTACTTCACACACATATGTTCTTGTTTGATCTCTAAACAGTTATAAAGATTTACAATACACTAATCTTTTGTTTCTCTTGTATTTTATTTCAATAGATGCATTTGTGCTGAATATTTTGGTGTGTTTGCGTTGAGTCTTTACTTGACAACTTATCCAGTTAATTGGATAGTTGAACTTTTACAAGTAAGTTTACGGAAGACTAGCGTTTCACCTGAAGTAGTATACAAGTAACTTGGTTTCAATACCGGCTATAATTTTTATTTGGGTCAGTCATAATCAGCATAAAGTCTGGGACAATAAAACTTAACGAAGATTGACACAGAGTGGAGATTCTCACTCTCGCTCACCTGATAGCCAGAATAGAACACAATGCAGCAAACAGATAACGTCGAATCATACAATATACTGTTGCTTCCTGACCACATATCAACACTACTAAGAAATTAAAATATAATCTCAATGATTGGTCCTTAATCAAGTAATAGTAGTTTAACAAACGCACAACACATTGTTTTATACATCACGTCAAAGCTTGTAATTTGGCGAATACCAAAATACAACAGTTTATGTATTTAATAATCATGCGACCAAAATGTAAACAGTAACCTCAGATAGGATCGTTCCGAAAGTTCAACTTTTCTTGATGTTTATTCCGTTATAACGATAATGTAGTATCAATGGTAATGAGTAGAACTAAATATTGAGAACTTGGTTTGGAAAGACTGAGTGGGAATCTATATTTGAGGGAATACTGAGATTCAGAACCTAGAGAATTTGAAGTGATTGGATCCTTTCCACTGTAACTAACTCTGAACCATTTTATCCAACGTTTCTTACCATTACTGCAAACAATGCTCATATCGACAGTCAATAATTTCTTTTTCTGACACCCTGTCTAGGTTTGGCAGCCTTTAACTTTCGTCTGGTTCACTCCTACTTCAGATAACATTGGAGTTCGAGGTAGTTGATAGCTGTTCATACGAAATATGTATACCAGCCACCTCATTCGATGAAGATCTACAATTTTATCGACCTATTGATATCTTTGTCTTATACTCTATGCCTAACCTTTTTATTGCTCACTCGATCGTCCCATTAAAATGCAACACTGAAACGAAGATAATCAAAATCAAAAGTCTGTAGCCTATGCATGTCTTCTACTTTTATAGGCTATGTATCACAGCCATAGAGCAATTCAGAAAAGACTGCCACTCCGTAAACTGGCCCTATGGTTAGCAGAAGTAAAGAAACACAATTAAATTCGGCATTTTTCTTTCCATACCGTGGTGATTTATCTACATTTAACCGATACATTGATTATTAGTTCTCAAACTAGTTTAATTTTATTCAGTTTGCTGTTCATAGGTTGCAAATTAAAACCGAATGATTATATGGGATAATATTTTAAGACACCATGCCAGTCAATCCGATTCCTCTTAATTTTGCACAAAGGAATTTCAGTCCCTTCTCATCTGAGATCAAAACCGGTTACATGGGATTACATCCAACTCCAAGTCGCTGGCTAGTACTTAAGTGCTAAAACTAAACAACCATGCTTATGAACTTCTGGAGTTGACTTATCAATTTCTTCTGGTCTCTCCTACTCCAAGTTAGGAATGGTTTTTTAAATCCCACTAAGATCTGGGGGACTTCTGCTTAATTCTCATTTACGTTGTTTATGAAAAGTGTGTAACTGAAGAATAGCTGGAGGCTATTTGAACTGTTCCTAACAATCTTTTGCTAATCCTTCCGATCTTCTCAGTTTTGTCTTTTTCGAAATATTACAACAAATAACTAGCTTTTCGTACCCATTCCCTTGTTGACCCGGGTCAGTTTTCTACAAGTTCTCAACTTTCTTTGCCCACCACTACTCATAATCACAAACAATATTCCTTTTGATGATCTAGAAGTATGTTCACAGATCCCACAAGACAAAGTGATGAAGCAGATCCCACTTTTCATGGGCAAATATTGATGTGTATGTTCCATAAATTCCAGACATTACTGACAGTGATGGAAATCCGTAGTGTTAGGTAGGGGCATGGGTTTATGAATCATCACTTGCCCATTACCATTTGCTTTGAATTCTAATACTGTTTCTTAATGATTGACGAGCACCATTTTTAAATAAGGTTTTGTTTTTTGGAGGTAAATTTCATATTGTTGTAATTTATGAATAAGTTATTATTTTCTCATACAACTGTTGATATTCATGCACAAATGGTACTCAGTCACCAATAAAATTCATCTTTTATTGTAAATGGAAGAATGCTTTGTGCTCAAAATATGCTAAGTTTTACTGTTCATATTTACTTTCAATAAAGAATATCACTCTGAAATCTCAAACATTGTTTGAGTGAGCTTTGCCTTTCAGTCATTTCTAAATTGTATTTAGCAGTAAAAAATAAAACACTCTTCTCATCTTGCTAAACTGTTATGTTTTAAGTGTTGGTATATTTGATGGATAGTCACTGTTCCAGCTGGTATTTGTACTCAACAATCATAGCTCTGAGCACTCGATCATTAATCTCTAGGATGATGAGTTACAGTAATTACGTCATGTTGAGCATACATTATTATTCATTCTGTTTCTTAAAACCATACTATTCAGCATGTGTTAACACATACGTCATATGACTACGATTTCCTATGTTGTATACATTTTTGATCCTTCCAACCAATTCTTTCTACCTAAAAAAAGGAATTGTTATACCAGTCTCCATTTTAAAATATCGCGTTTAGTTCTCGAAAAATTTTGTTATCTACAGTTCTGCTTCCTTATTGAAATGTTTGTTAAATATTACCGATTCGAAAAGGTCATTACCGTTAACGGTATACTTTGTGAATTTTCAAATCGTGTCTAAACCTGGTATCTTCTATATTTTCGTTTTGCTAATAATCTTTCAATTCATTATTGACAATGAAAGTAGAATTTCGTAATAATTAATTCATAGAGAATGTGATCTAGCACATTCATCACTAGTTGATGTAACGTCTTTTTGACAAAATTACCTCATTTAAATTACTTAAACACCTTAGTTTAAAGGACTTTATTGTTTGTTTTTTTTGTTTTAAATATATATTAAGACGTTTATGTTACTTATAAAATGATTTACTACATTTCTTCAAAATGAAAACTGTTTTTGTGGTTACATTGAATTGACATAACGAGTGAAGGTTGCATAAATTTATGTATTTATTCACTGGATAGCAAACAAAATGTTGGTGAATTCTGTTTGTGAAAATTTTTATCTTGAACCAGTGAATATTTAAATTGTCATGAAGAATTCCCTTTTTACGTGGCTTCATCTGTTTTTCAGAAGAAAGTATTTTTATGCCGATAAAACTCACCCAATACCTTTGTTCATGTTCGAAAATAGTAATGTTAGCTGCTTAAAGTAACCCTTTAAAATGATTCTAAAGCAGTTAAACATAAAATTTTGTTTTACCAAACAAAGAAGTTTGAATGTTAATTAAAGTTCCACTTTGTAACGTGCATAAGCCTTTGTCAATTTAATTATATATATATACATGTCTTGATGAGTGAATTCCTGAAACGTAATAGATAGACATTCGGATTGTTTATCACGCTGTACAAAAACTTTCTTGTTCGCGTGACCAAAGGTTCAAACTTCACTGTAACAACATGACAGTAAGACGTCATCATTGATACGTAATTTTTTATTCGATTTTCGACCGAACAGGCTTTTTCCAAACCATGTGTAATAAACCGTTTTGATCCACTAGTGTATTTCTGATATAATGGAATGCTGTTCAAGTGTTATTATAGTTGTATAACCATTTGTTATTTAAATCAATGGTAATGAAATATGTTTTCTAGTGAGTTTCTTTAATAAATCATTTTTGAAGAGTTTAGTTTTTCCTCTTTTCATTCAATTCAGATTTTGTTATAGGGCAATCGACATTATACTGATAGCCACATAGTCAATGGTATTTCTGTATTTATTCTATTCTCTGAAATGATTTATTATTTGCAAAGTTAGATTAGAACTATTAAACAAGAAGACTAAATATTCAGTCACTATGTTTTCAGTTAAAATGAAAATCGTTTATAAAATATGAGGATATTTTCAGAGTCGCATATATTGAAATTGTTTTTATCGATTGTAGTTAGTCCGAATTCCTTCTATTTGGTTCATACTCATTTTACACTCCATGGTTTTGGCGAATTTTATGGCTAGTTATATTGTTGAATCAATTGTTGATGGAGTCTCTTTTCGACGTCGTATACGTCGCATTCGTCGAGCGCTATTTCCAAGGTTAGTCACACCATACATAGTAGCTTTGTACGACTTCGATTCATGTGATAAATGCATCAAGAAGAAGTAGGGGTATTTCATATTCGTTAATTTATTTTTACTTTTTAAAAGATGCTTAGTGTGAAATCAAAAAGTTTGGACAGTATTTATATGATGTACATGAGTTGTCATTACGGAATTTATGGCTGTCTTCGATGATGCGTGTTATTTTCTCTGAAAGACCAATAAACAGCGAAATAGCGTAATTTTGATTTCACGAATCTGAGAATCTTCCCGTAGTTCCTGTTGTTTCTATTGTTGCCGAGGTGTTACTGAGGTGGAACACTTTTATTCATCGTGAATAACAGGAGAAATTTTTATTTGGAATCGAAAATGCTTCAAAGTAACTTGACGCATATTGTATAGATTTATCGCTCATACGATCAACACTACACAAGCTGACTGACAGATCAGAATCTAGTTTATAAATTCAGCATTTTGGCGAGAAAACTAATGTACTGCAAATCGGTGTAGATGAATTTTTATAACAGTCTATTTGAACGAACTGAATCAAAGAACTCTCAAACTACTGAATTCAAATTAAATAAAATGCTACTATAAATGCTAATTTCTCGGTCTCAAATGAATGTAAAATGTTTTGAATCTTTGAATCAGTTGTCATTTTGTCGATAAGACTTCAACATTTGTATCCGTCTTTTTATTTCGGTTAGAAAGTCGCTTAGATCTATTAAAATACTCTTCTTTAAAGTGTTTTATACTTCATTTTAAACAAGTAATAAATCTCTAAAACCAATTAATTTTCGATAAGATGAATATACTGTGACGTTGACTAGTTTCAATTTTACAGTTACAGGTTAGCCGTCTTGTTCAATGACTGGAAACAATTAATAGACTCCTTGCAAAGTTTTTATTTCGGAAACATTCCAAATGTCAAACCTGTAGAAATAGTAACACTGAAGCTACATGGTCTGAAGAAAATGCATCTTCCTTCGACCCGTCAGAGATATGAATAACTTAGACTATTTTACAACAGCGAATTGGCTAGTATAAATTCTTAAGGCGTTAAACAGAGAAATTTTTAGTTACAGTGTAAAGGATTCCCTGGAGTTCGTCGATCATCTAAGAAATTTGTTGATCAAAATAGCTTCATGATATTATTAGATCTAATGTCTGTATTCATTGACTTTTTTCATCTGGAAACTGTGAATTCCGTTTGCAGTTATTCTATATATATAATAATGCACAGCGATGATGAAATACTAACTGTAAAGTAATTTTTCTCTCAATTTTCATTTAATTTTGAAACGTGTAAAGCTTTGAATACTTTCTATAATGTTCACTTATCGTGTAAAGTGTTTTTAAAATGTCCAAAATATTTAACACGGTATTACCTTTATGATCTAATCAAGACGTGTGGAACGCAAAGCTTATGAACGAATTCGAGAAGAAATTGACAGGTCAGCTGGTGTTTGGCCTCCCCTATTAAGATATGCCAGTCTACAAGCATTACCACGGCGTTTGTTTGGAGATGATGATGTAGATTTGCCTGATTGTCCTGGGGGTGGACGGTTGTCTTCTGCAGTATCCAGTGTCACAGATGTGGATGGTCCTTCTGTTCCAAGTGAAGTAACTGACAGACGACAGCTTCCCTTTAGCAGTACAGACGGTGATATCGGTTTGCATAAACATGTCAGTAAACACTCTTCTAATCAAATGAGTGTAAATGAAAATCCAAATCAAACTTTTACTCTTGGTGGTTCTTTGAAGAAACGCAATCTTTCAGTGGTAAGGAATTTATTTGGTAATTACTTCATAACTATTGTGATTTTTACTATACATGGTATGCAACCTGGTGTAGATACTATTATTTGAGTAGTTTATATACCATATTGAAAATTCTTGATTTTCTAAGAAAAAGGGCATAGTTTAACTACTGGACTTAATTCCTATATAATTCCTTCGGGAATATTTATCTGTGCTGATAGGTAGGACAACCAACTACCTTGATAAATTGCGTTAAGACTGGATTGTTCATTTCCCTAAAGCAAAAATGTACTTGTTGAAGAAAGTTGTATTGATTAGTTTAAAGAATGTTTTTGTCTTAACCTGATAACAAACATATTTTGTATATAAATAGGAACTTTTGGAGATAAAAAAAAGTGAATAAGTATTAAACACTTGTTGCTTTACCTTCATCAAAGCGTTTGCTCAGGATGTAGGTATTGGTAATATTTAATTTCAGTTTAAGATACAAAATGTCCTGAAAGGTGTAAATCATATTTTGTGTTTCTGGTCGTTCGTTTCATAAAACTCTTCAAATGTTTTTTTTCCGTTGACTGGTTTATGCCAAAAACTTTGAATATATTTTATCAAATATTTGGATTATTTAATTTTTATTTTGTGGGCTCTTAATATGACGACAGCATGAAAAACATCTTCGACACTAGATGATAGTGTTGACAAACTTTACTTTTTGAGATTTGTCAATATCTTATTATCCTTATTTTACATATTTTTTACATGTATATTGTTCTTTCATGGTGTAAAGTTATTGCACATCAAAGGGTTTCCTGCAAACTACTTACAACTGATTAACATCAAAACAGTGTTACTGATTTCTATTCAACAATCGCATTTTTATTTGATCAGGGTCCAAGTAATTCTCACAGAGATCACTACCTGTTTATATTTCTGTATTTAATTGTTAAAGTATTGACTGGCACTTTTTCATTTGTGTTCGGTTATTTGAGAAGTATAAACTGCTTTAATCTTCAAGCTTGTTGTCCAGTCGTTTTATGAGTCTTTCGATTAATCACAAAATGAGATTATTTTCAAACTGGGTGATGACGAAGCCTAACATCACATATCTCAAAAGAATTATATAATCAAATCATTCTCTGTGATAGTTCCAGTCAATATTTTGCCATATATTTTTCCCAAATTAAATGTTTTTTAAAAGTGACTTCATGAAAGTTCTGCATCTGTACTTCTTGTGATTTGATCAGCTTTAGACACCGATAAAGCTGGCGCAAGTGTGTATGTTTTAGTTGCTATATCGCTTCAATGGGATTCACATGAATATTGAACACTGACAGTTAATTACTTTGCTGTATATTTGTTTGAATTAGTGATCCAAGTTAATACTGCGTCTTCATCATATCTTCAGCATATGAGTGGTTTCTCCACGTAATCTTTGAATACTTATTTTCGTTCTTATATGTTAGAACCAGTCTAACATTCTAAGGCAAACTAAGCGTATACGCTAATTCACTTCGATTGGTACAGAAATTTCGAAAAGCATAGTATTCTTTCATTTGAGTCAGTTTTTTATTAAAATGTTAGAAAGTGAAACGTGTGTTAGCATGAAACAAAATTCATTATGATCAGTGGTCCTCTTAACAAACGTCTAAAAGCGAAACAACATTCCCAGGAGTTTTTGTCTCACATAACCTAGTGCTCATATTTTTATTGTTGTTTAGGAAATTCCTTTACTGCTTTAGAATTAAATACGTTGGTCGATTCCATCTGGCAACTAGTTTGTGTAAATGATAAATGATTCAAACCTGTGAGTGCCTCTGGGAAAGAAAATGTTATGAAATTCCAAATTTTAATTGGCAAGATATGGATAATTTATTTGAACAGGTCGAGTTTTTAATGAACCAAATGCCATCATATTCAAATAAACTAAATTGCTCAAAGACGGAATAAATATTTTTACGTGTCATTATTTTGGAAGATTTTTGAAGTAAATAGATGTAAATGGATGTATGTATATTTATGTAATCCCGTGTACTGAAAACCGTTTATACCATATATACAATTATATAATATACCCTTGTGGGTCAGGGTAATTTTACATTGGTTTTCAGGAGAACCGGACATCATCCAGACCTTCACGTGACAACCTAAATAGTACGGCTCAATCCCGTTTAACAGGAGAGCCAAACACCGCCCAGGCTTAACCCGAGCAGTACAGCTCAATCCCACTTGCAGGAGAGCCAGACACTAGCCATATCTACAATCTGAATTAAATAAGCCACCATAGTTTTCAAAAGCCGATACTTTATAGTTTCATTTTATTGATAAAAAAAAATATTACTTTGCTTTACAATCACCAAGAACGAGCTAATAATAATTCAAAAACCAAGTTGTTTATTTAACAGAATGACAGGTTCATTTACTACTCTACTGAAGTTATTGAAAGTATAGTTTATAGCCAAAAGCAGTTAGTGATAGTGGCTAGTTTTACCAGTTATTTCAAGCAAGAGTGTAGTTCGAGTCATGAGATCATATGGAATCTATTAGTAAGCATCTGTCTGATCTTGTTCAGTGGTAATTGTTATTCTACCCTTAGTTGTTCCACGCATTATATTAGCATTGGCTCACGTTTAAGTTTTTGTTCCAATCATTATCTTCGTTTCTATTGTTTGTTTTCCTTTTCTATAATGTTGTTCAATATGAAAACGAAAAATAATATCTTACTTTTGAAATTTTTATATTATCGGCTGTTCAAAATTCATAATTTTGACTTTTTAGTTAGCATAGTATCAAAATTAAAATCCTGATTCATCTACTTTCGACTTGTATTAGGACTCACTACAGCATCACACTGTTTATGATCCAGATGTATTTGATCATTCTTCAGTGTCAAGTACACCTTCAGCTTTAGAGGTTCCTGTTATCGAAAGCATGGGTTCACATTTGAGAAATGAGGGTGAAGAAAATCGTGAATAAGAAAACTGTCGGTGAATTATATGGTTTTTTAATTATAGAAGTTGAAGTGTTTTCCTGTAACAATTCGCTTCACTTTTTCCAAAGTCAAGTTATATTTGCACTGTCATTAACCTTTTATTTTTCTACAAGGTTAACATAATTGCTTATGATATATTTAAATGCCAAGATTGTGTACTTTTTATACAATGTACGTTGTAATATTGGATTTTTAATATACTGAATGACTTTACCTCTTGTCACCTGCACATATTTTGATTTATATGCTCTCTTTAAATGCCAAAATGTTTACTTCGATACTGTTTTTTTTTCGAGAATCCCAGATAGTGTTAGCATAAAACGTATTTTGCAAATGATATTTGGTAAATTAACAACGATGTTTACTATTTCCAAAAAAAACAATGTATTTCATTGCTATCTAAAAATGCTAACTTGACCTAAATTGCTAATTGTATTACAACGAATATTTTGTAGAATTTCATAAGAAATGTTCTTTAAAGGTGAACAGTTTATTTGTGTTTTTATGACAACTTATTCCAATAGATTATTCACTCATTGATAATATTTTGGCACAATACAGTTACAGCTTGCTGGTCTGCCAGCTTATTAGAAGTGTAGCACATTTTTGTTTCTTTTAACTCGTCTAAAGTAAAGTAATTAGCTTTCATTGTCAAATATTCTGTGCAACATGGAAGCTTATTTCTTTGTTCTGAAATAACGTAATGGTAAGTGGATACTGAAATAATATATGCATGTAAATATTTATATCTATTTTGAATTAATCAGAAATGCTGATTTCCGGTTTGTTAAGGTTCTATGTCATCGATGATCAATTTGAAATAATCTGCAAAGAGTTTATGCATTTGTGAAAGAATATGATTTTATAGATATGATAACCGACTCTGCGTTGGATACTATAATCCTACTTTCTATAGTTTTATTAGTACCCATTGTTCAATAAACTTTCTTAGTTGGTGCATATAATGTTGTCCGTACTACTAGGTTTCGTAGTTGTTGCATGTATTTTTACTCATTTATTCCATTTTGAAGTGCATAATTAACTGTGAGTATTGTCAAGTTTCTTGTACATCTATCTCCAAATGAAGATGTTCATGGGTTGACTTGACTGCATATGAATAACATACTCTTAAACATCGATAGACATAATAGTAATACACTTGTTAATCAGTTTCTTTCATCTGAATGATGGTCAAGATAATTCTAGTCACCCATTGCAAGGTAAGTTACTGTCCGTTTTGTTCTAATTGTAAGCTGTTTTATGTATTTTGTGATAAATCGTAGAATGTTCAGATCTATTACGAAACTTGTTTCTTATCAGAATAGGGATTTGTGTAGATTGTAGTAATTTTAATAGTTGAATTCATGAGATGATCTAAACTAGAACACCATTGAAAACCTGGAAGCACAGACAATGGATGAAGGGTTGCGTAAGATCATGGATCGATTGAAGTTAGATACTAACACTGTTGGATGCCGGCTCAGTGGTCTAGAGGCTAAGCGTTCGCGCGCGAGATCGAGAAATCTAGGTTCGAGTCCTGTGTGCGGGATCGTGGGTGTGCAGAGCTTAGGAGTTCCAGATTAGGACGAAGGGGCCGTCCAATTCTTCTAAGTACTCAGTGGTGGTCTAGCTTAGAATAACTATGGAATTCAACTATTAAAATGTGTTTTGTTTGAAAGGATTGAAGCTAGATATATGATTTATACAGCTTATGATCGGGATTGGACTTTTACTAATGAGGTTACTCAATGAGTACACTTCTGTGTATAAACCTTATGTTCAAGAATTCGAAAAATTGCTGGAACTACAGCGCTAAAACTATCAAATGGTTTTTAATGTAAGACACATCTTGGTCTCCTAATGTCTGATTAGCAAATGGATTCTAATGAAATGGTAATTGAAAGCTACCCTAAAAATATCAGTGCTTGACAAACGCGAAATTGATTCCTAACTTAAATACACGCAGTGCATATTGTGAACTCTACTTATTGTCTGTTTCATTGTGGTGCTACGTAAAGTCTCACCTGAATCTAAAAATTATTATTATTTATTTGGTTTCCACACCATCTTAAAATTCCAAGGTTTCAATAAACGTTTTGAATATCTCAGATGGTTAAAGTACTTACACAAATACAGTTGGTTAAGTTGACGAGAGATGTAAACAAATTGAACTTATTGGAATTCTTCATAATAATAGGTCGTCAATTTTGTCGATTATCATTTGTTCAAAATCCTGGGGATTTATAAGTAAATATATATACGTTAGATTTATCTTGACACGAATTTAATATTGAAGACCATCTTACTAGATATATTTGATGCATCTGTCGAAACAATATCTGTAACATGAAAGGTGTGGAGTACTAATGAACATTGCTTTGAGGACTACTTCAGAATGTGATTAGAAAAACCCATGACTGAACATACGACAGGTTATCTAAAATAAGTCTGTTTATTAACAATTTCTATCGTTGTTTAGATTAATCAAACTAACATTTTGACGTACCATAATCCATTGACAACTTGTATAATTCAGCATGTATGATCTGACTTTCCAGTCAGTAGTAAATTGCGGATGAATGACAAAGATGTTTTAAGCTTGTACTGTGCCATGAAACCTAACTGAAAACCTCTGACACTAGCCTAGCTGTATCAGACAGAGTCGGTTATTTTCCGAATTGCCTCTTTTGCTCTTCTAACAATTGAAATGGGAAAGCATGGCTTGATCTTTAATCAGTATTGATTCAAATATCATCTGGCTATCGAGATATAAATATAGATAAACGAAAGAAAACAGATTTATTTGATAAAGTGTAATAAGTACTACAAATGTTGATTTAAATTACTTCACTAATCCTAATTAGAGTATCTACTAGTCTTTAATGGGTGATTGAACTTGTGAAGAATTTGTTTATGGGGAAAAGAGAACATTTTCTGTTAGTCTCACGTAGAGACTTTCTTTAATACTAAGGACGTTCTTATATGTCAAAATTATATGACTGGTTATCTATTAAATTGTTGATAAAAACAGTTTATATCATGTAATTAACTTTAGTTGCAAACAACTCCTAGATGGAAGCTCATCTACTCCGGTCTAGCAAGTTTTTATTCATAAATCTATTGAATTCCAAAAGTAAATCATCCATTGAACTGAGTGGATTCTTTCTGTAATTTGTTATAAATTTAACATTATCGATGATAAGTTTATCCAACATTTCATGAATAATGCACACATTTTCATAGTGTTGTGCACTTGGTATTTATTACTCGGCTTTGAAATGAATGTCTTAGTCATTATGATAAATTGCAAAGACTTGAAAATCTGATTTTGAATAAAAAGAACACTTACATCATATGCATTTACTCTCTCAAGATTATATCGAAAAACGTGGGAGTAGCTGTCTATGGCTCACCCTGGATTGCGTGGTTGTCGTGTTTTTTTTATAGTAAGGTACTATTTTGAGGAATGAATTTGGTAAACTCTTGCCAAATTCATCTCCTGTATGTTTAAGAGGACAACTAGTAGCTTAAGAGGGGCTCTAGGAGGAGTTTGAAATTTTCAACAACTAATATATCCTAAGACAGTATCCTCATCAGTTTATCAAGATTAGTTTGGATCTCGGTCAATACATCGATCCATAGTCTACTTGTGAGTTGGGTATACAGAGCCCAGACACTTCAGCCACTGTGGATGATCTTAGTGTTAATGCACTTATGCATCATTGTATTTGAAATGTTGATGCGGAAGCCATGGAGGTGACTTCAGCTATCCTATTATAAACTGATTAACTGGTGACAAGTCCGTCAAGTAATGAGGAATTCTCAACAATACTAGATATCTACTGTTGGTTTTGATAGGTGCATACCTCAGGAAGGCATGCTAACATCCTCAAACTAATTCTATTTCAAGATACCATTCCCCCATCCGTACAAGTTAAGAATGAACTTGGAAGCAATGATCATAAAATGGTTGTCTGTATTCTTCCCGTTAATATTAACCCTACTGATAACCTTTCCTTAAAAAGAAAACGTCAATATCGGGACTATAAAGTGCAAAGTGGGCTTAATGCAAACCTTGTTGAAGTGTTCATTTTTGAATAACTCCTCGAGAAATAGTCTCGTACGTGTGCGAGACATTTTATCAAATCGATTCCATTACACCGGTGAAAAGCTAATGCCTTATTCATAACAGTTAAGTAACGCAACTAATTAAAATTTTTTCGAAAAGTTACTTTAAGTCGAATTGTTTTTACCCGCACAATTAGCTGTAATTTTTAACCAAGTCTGAGAAATTCATAATTCAAAGGCCTATATTGAAGGGTAGTTAGCACTTAACGGTGGTTCAAAAGAAGTAAACCTTAGTTACTCTACTCAATAAACGTGTAGGATTATCGCAAACTTAGGATTCCCCTTGAATTTTCCATAATGGTTCTTTTGTAAAGATTCGAAAACCGACACAAACATTTTCCTAAATAGAGCAAGAACAAAGATTGGTGCAGAATAATATGAATTCATTTTATTTCGTTAGGTTCTCATCAGCTGCTTACAACCTAAATTATTTGAAAATCAACATTATTACAGATATTGACATGCGTATACATAAGAGTGTGATTAAGGATCAATACATGTGTATGATGATGTAGCAAGCAAAGATTCAGATAGAGTTAATAAGCTCATAAAATGTTTGATTCGAATAAATAAATAAAGTTAGAGAAGGAAAGTTCCAGAACATTGAAATAGTGATTAGAACAATAAATAAGAACTTTCGTCTAAATTTGAACGAATAGTTTCGCAATATTTGGGCGCCGAGTTAATTTGAGACATTAAAAAGAAGAATATATTTGTAAAATCTCAGCGAATGATTAGAACTCATGAAAATAGATTAATGGTAATAAAGAAAATATGAATTGAAATCAATCAGTTATATATGATGTAATTTATATTTCAGAAAGAGTTGCAATAATGACGTAATAAATAAATAAATAGGAGCAAATTAATAGAAAGAGTGGGGGTTATTGTTACCAGGGTAAAGAAAGATTTATTACTGTCTCTTTTTGTATACATAGATCTGGTTTTAAACGTTTGATTGCTAACGCTTCAGCGAATTTCAAAAGGTTCGAGTTTGATTGTTTGTTAATCACCTTGAAGGACTTCAGTATATCAGCTTTATGTCCTGTATCAAGGAGATGTCTTGCGATAGCACTGTTGAATGAGTTCAATCCATTTAA